TATAGGCCCCTTCCAACTCTTCTATGATTCGATGGATCTACAAATGAAAACACCCTCTTCTCCTCTCCCTAAGGTGCATAATAACCACACTCATGATGTCAGTTTGGCACCTGAGGGAAAAGATCTCTTGAGGGCCTCTCCCCAGAAGTAAAAAATTAAAAATATGACAATAATAGAGTAGCTAACACTTCATTACACTGCTTTACCATCCTTATCAGCTGTCAGAGGTGGCCAGCTCACTCCAATGGTAAGATGGGTTTTGGCACCCTCTACATGGAAACCGTGATGTTTCAACTGGAATAGGTTTGGTTTGGTTTGGGATAGGCCTTGTGGAAAAGCAGGCACTTTGATTTTTGCACTTTGGAGTGGAAGAAATGTTGGCAGGTACAGATTAAATAGGGATGTATACATTATGTCATACTTCTAAATAGATGGATTAGGAGTTCTATGGAGCAGTGCCAACTTGCCCATCTTACCATTAAGATGAGGTGAGAAAAGCTACTCTTGCTGAAATTCCCTCTTATTTTTTGTAAGCTGTCCAGAGACTTTTAGTATTGGACAGCATAGGAAAGCTTTAAATGAATACATAAATTCTCTGCCACCATGAATGGCACATGACCACTGCTGTCTTCCTTCCTATCTGGTTGCCCTAGGAAAGGTGCTATTGCACCCATGTGTGCTCACATACTTTAAAATATTTATCTCACTTGTTTCAGGATTATACCATGACTCTTAAAACTGGTTCATTTTAGGATCAAACCCTGGTTAACCTGCTTGACTTGAATGCAGCCCAGATATCCAGGCCTTCCAGCTTCCACATGCTAACAACTAAGGTCAATTCTTAACACGCGCAGGATCTTTTCATAATAAAGGGTGCACCAAGGTATAAGCACAAATCTCCCCATCTAACCCTCACAGGGGAATGCCAAGCAATTTCAGCAATCTTCAGGACTGAAAAATTGCACATCCCAAGAACTTGCGTCTATGAGAGCTGCAACAGTTATTTTGTGGTCCTTTATTCCCTCAGCAGTGTCTAAAATGAGCTAATGTGGAATGTTGCATTAATATGAAAAATGCCTACATTATCTCCCAAGAACCGACCTGGATAAAACTCTGGCTAGAACTGCTTCTCCGTCTTTGTTCTTCTGCAAATGTAACTGCCAGGAAACAAAAAAAGTGGGAGTTTAGGGTCTTAAGGTAGATGTGAGAAAATAATTATCTGCTGTAGAATTCAAGGAACCCACAAATGTGACCTTACTGAAGGCGTTTAAAATACAAAAATGGGGCCAGCGACAAAATTGTTTTTGTTATGTGTCATCACTTACGGCAAACCTATGAATAGAAACCCCTTCAAAACTCCATTCAACTCCTCCAAGTTCAAGACTATGGCTTTCTTTATGCATTTGATCCATCTCATATTTGGTCTTCCTTTTTGTCTTCTGCCTTCAACTTTCGCTCACATGAGTATCTTCTCCAGTGACTCTTGCCTTCTCATAATGTGTCCAAAGTATGACAGTCTCAGCTGTCATTTTTGCTTCTAGGGAAACTTCTGATTTGATCTAGGACCCACCCATTTTTGTCTTTCCGTAGGTCCAAGGTATCTGCAAAGCTCTCTTCCAGTTTCAAACACATCAATTTTCTTCCAGTCAGTGACAAAATACTGCAGTACTTGTAACTTCCTCACAGGAATGTTCCTGTTCCTGTTTCCATCCAGCCATGCCCTCCTCCTCTACATGTAAGGCATTGAAGTACAGATTTTGACCATTGTTCTTTTCCAAGCGGATACTGTCTAAGTCAACCTTCTGCATCTGAAACTACAATGCACATAAATCCCAGCCAGCATGACCCCTGCTGGTTGAGAATTGTGGTCCAACACAGGGAGCGCCAATTTGGAAGGGGCTGGCAGAGACTTTCCAGAAAATTCTGTGGGTGAGGAAGGGGGACCGCAGGATAAAAACCCTAACTCTATGAAACCACCTAGGGCTTTGACAAAAGAATCGGGCAACACAATCGTATGCATAGTTACTCAGCAATAAGTCCCACTTTGTTCAATGAGCCTAACTTCCTGGTAAACATCTCAGGATTGCAGCCTTAATATTCCTTTAATGGCGGTGGTTATTTCCCATAGGAGCAGTTCAAATCTGAAACCTAGAATAAATGGACAGATCACAAAATCTGTGGATGCACCAACAGGATCTTTTCCTATATGCTTTTCCTGCAACTTCCCTGATGGAAAAATGAAGAATTGGTGAGCCTGGGTAATGAGCAAACAGTGAAACACAGTATCACTATTTTCACTAATCAAAATATTTATCAACTGTCCTTCACTGAATAGACATCAAGGCAGTGAACTATAATTTATTAAAATTGGCCATACAACTACAAAGTACCATAAAATAGTCTGATACTGTCACAAAATACATTTCTGTGGACCAACAAAATAGAACAACCTTCATAAACTTGGAGAGCAGACAGTTTTCTTTAATTCCCTACCCAAATTCCATTGTTTCCTATTATTAATACAAGAAGTGCTTCATTAATACAGCAGAAAGGAGGCTCATCCTTGCTGAGAAAAACAAACTGCTGAAATGGGAAGACAAGATATTGGGGGGGGGGGGGCAGTTCTATTGCAGGAGTCGCCTGTTGGGTGCAGGCAGTGGGAGGACATTTTCAAGATGGCCCAGCATGGGAATAATAAATAACAAAATGCCTGCTGTGATGCTAAAAGGTGTGTGGGTGGAAAGAGGGCTTGTATTACAGCATTTCAGCTTCTGTGATATACTATTTCCAGACCTGAAAGGGCCACTCCACCCTTTGTTATTGGTGGAATGGAGGTCTGCAATCACTGTCAGTCCTGTCCCAAATGCAGCATTTTGCTTTTCGCCCCAAGAACGAATGGCAAACATTTGTGGACACCACTGGAGGGAAGGGCTAAACGAGTTTCCTATATTATTACATTTATACCCCATCTTTCTTCCCCTTGCAAGAAACCCATGGCAACTTACAAGGTTCTCCTCCCTCTCCATTTTATCTTCACAACAACAGCCCTGCAAGGCTGATTACACTGAGAGACTGTGACTGGCCCAAAGTCACCCAGTGAACTTCAATGCTGAGTGGGGACTAGAACCCAGATTTCCAAAGCATCATTTCTTCACCCATCTGAACCCATCATGAGAAGAACCCTGCCAGATCATCTAGCATTCTGTTCATAGAGTGACCAACTGTCTGTCCATGAACCATATGAAGGATAGGAGTGCAATAGGAACATAGGAGCATAAGAAAAGCCATGCTGAATGAAACTAGAGGTTCGTCTAGTCCAGCATTCCATAGACACGCTGGCAAATCAGCTGCCCACAGGATCCCTCAGCAGGATGGCTATGAGACCTCCTCCTGCCCAAGCTCCTCAGCAATTGTGTGGGCTCGCATAAAGAAGGTGGCATAAAGCCCGCAAGGCTAGTAGCCACTGATAGTTGCCTCCTCCTCCTCCTCCTCCTCTTCCATTAATTTATTAAATCTTCTTTTAAAGCCATCCAAATTGGTGGTTGTCAATACATCTTGTAGTTGTAAATTCCTACATCCAACATTCAAGAGTTTTCTGACTCTTGGTCATGGCTAAGAGTGTGATGAAACACCAAAAATAGACTTCAGTGTATTATACTTTACATTTATAGAGCACATTTCAGGAGTTCAAAGCACTTTCCTGATATTCTCAGTAATCCTTTCAGTAGTCCTGCAATGCAGGTTGACATTATTATCCCAGTATTTTGAGATAATACCAATATCCCAAAACAAACATTTATTGTTTCCATACTTTGTTATAAACCTTCGGCTAGAGGTGGTATAGGAATGAATTAATGATGATGATGCAGAAGGTGGGTTGAGGCCAAATGAATAGCATAGTAATCCCATAATGCGGCCAGGGGCACACTAGTGTGCTTTGAGAAATGATTCTATTACATAATGAACAGCACAGTTCTATATGTGTACACTCAACAATAAATCCCTCAGTTCAATGGGTCTTTTCCCATAGTAAAGGATTACAGTCTAAAATGCCAGAGATGTTCTGCTAGTTGGACAGAATTGGATGGAACAGGATGAGGCTGGAGAATCAAAATGATACTAATATGCAGCCTTACATGGGACTGAACCCCACTAAACACAATGGGACTTTGTTTTCAAGTAATCATGTATAGGCTTGCAGTTCGCCAGTGCAGGCCTATGAATGTTGCTTGGGAGTGAACCACATCAAAAGCAAGCACATAATTTACTGTGGTTTTCAGCACAATGCTATGCACACAAGCGGTAGATATACCCTATTTTCAGGGATGTGGGGAGGGGGGAGCTTCTCAAAGCAGAGTCCATTAAAATAACAGAAAAACGTTTGCACAATTAAAATTCAGCTCAGTTCTAAGAAAGGCAGCAGGACAACGAAGATATAAAATCCAAAGTGTCTTAATACAACCCTATGCATGTTTAGGCAGGAAAAAGCCCCTACAATTAATGCTGGGAATTAATGCTCACAATTTCTTCTGAGTACAGACCACTGAACCCAGTGGGCATTACATCTATGCAGACATGCGCAGATTGAACTAGTAAGATTATCAACAGAAAGGTGATCCTCCTTCCTGAACGTCCCCACTCTGATCAGGAAGCAATTGTGACCAAAATAACCATGGGGGGCGGGTCCGAAGACGCAACTGTTTCGAAATACTGCGATGACAAGCAGCACCGAGCCCCATCCCGTTTTATTTTTAAAACGTCCGATACACTTCCGCTACCTCGTGCCCCACATATGGAGGAGTCTAGCCAAAGCCAAAAACGAACCCTGAGAGAAAAGCGTAATTTAATGTTCCGATTTCTTGAATTCTTTTTAATATCTCCGCATCCCCCTCCTCCCTGTGGCACTAATTGGACGAGTTAGAACGTAAGCCCAAGCAAGGCGCTTACGTCATGGGCGCATGCGCATGGGGTGAGACGTGTAGGCGTGCTGGAAAGGGAACCCGCCGACCCGGCGAAAAGCGGTCGCAGCTGCGCGCAGGCGCGGGGACGGAGGCCTGGGATTTAAAGGGGTAGAACTGGCGGCCCCTTCGGGGGAGGGAGTGTTGTTTAGTGGGGTGCTTTTATCTGAGGAGAGGGGGCTTCGTTACCTCTGCTGGGGAAGATGGTTTGCGGGGGCTTTGCCTGCTCGCGCAACGCGCTGTGCGCCCTCAATGTCGTTTATGTGGTGAGTGTGACAGCCGCCTGGCTCCTTCCCCCACCCCGCGCACTTGGCTTAGTAGAAATTGGAGGGTGGGGTTAATGTGGGGAGGGAGGCCTGGAAACGGGGGAAGAGGCGCTGTGGGGTGAAGGGGGGCCGTGTGGGAGAGCGTGGCGGGGAGAAGGGGTCTTTGTAGGTGTTGGCCTTTTGGGGAGAGCATTTAAGTAGGAAGTGGCTGGGGACAGCGAATGTGCCCTGTTTCGTGTTCAGGCTATAGACTCGTTGCCTATTGTTGAAGGGGTGGGGTTGCTCTCTCTTCTTTTGTGAAAGAGAGAGAAGGGGGGGCAAGGAGAGGTTGGTCTGGGTTCCTTCTTGCAAGGCAGCCTCCTTCATCCTGGCAGACTCAAGGTGTACTGTACTTCACCTACCAACATACCCACCCGCGATTGTCGGGGGATGGTAGGAGTCATAGTCAAGCAGATCTGGGGCTGATAGGTTGGGAAAGTCCGGTCTAGCATGCTGGGAGAGGCAGGATTATTCACTGCCTGGCTTTATGTGGGTGCGGGTACTTGGGCATTGTTAGGAGGAGGAAAGCTGGAAGGTGCCATGTGTGTCTCCATTTTTCTAGACTGCAATGGGAAAAGCTGTGGTAGGAGTGAACCTGTCATGGAAGGCCTAGAAAAGGAGTGTTCTTTCAACTCAAAATAAATTTGGTTTTGCAAAGATGGCTAAATTCAAGGATGTTTTCTCAAGTGTGACTAGACAGATGTATTGTTAGCAGGGAAAGGGGAACATGAATAGTATCCATCTTACAGAAGTATCCCCTGAATTTTCATTTTAAAAGATGTCTCAGTGGAGTATGGGCTGTGTATGTTGTTTTCTCATTGTCCCACATCTAGTAGCAATAAGCTGTGCATTGTGATGTTGTCAGCACTACTATCAGTTGTCTTTCCTAGAACTGACCACAGTTTTTCTGCCACACTGCTTTTCTGGAAAACTTTTATTATCCGTACAAGTTTGAAACGTAACTTCAGGGTGTTCCTCTGATTGCTGGAAATAGATAACTCAGTTTACTTCTTAGTTTCACTTCTTAGTTTCTTGTATGGATGTTTTCTAAATTTTTCAGTAAACTACAACTCAGAAAAAAGTTCAGGTGGGACCCAGGTAAACTGCACAAAAGCCTCAATTGGTTAGAACATTCAGGTATGAGCAATAACTTGAGATGATGCAGAAGGCGCCTTTAACAACAGTGTAAGGAATGAAAGGGCATGGATTAGGTCAGGTTATGTACTGGATGTTCATAAGGCAAACCTGCAGGAAAAAATCATTGTGTTTTCTTCTTCCTATGTAGAGGCCCATGAAAGGAGGAGGAATGAGCAACTCTTATATTTCAGTAGAAGATATTCTAAATGTATTTATTCTGTGCACAGAAAAATAGCCTCTTAGAAAGTAGAAAAATCTGGCCAGAAGGTCCAAAAGGATACACATACCCAGCTGCCATTGCTTCTTTGTTACAGAGTTGTGGGAGGGAATCTGCCTGACAATTCTGCTAAAGGTAGTGGACATTCTGGAGACATGGGGCAGCTTATACCACACTGCCAGTGAAAAACAAATATACATAGCCCTTGATGTGAACATATCTGGAGATATCACGCACATTCCTACTTTTGAATGAGATAAGACAGAGCCTCCTTTGAAAAACTTTGGTGACATTTACAGTGTATCAACTGGTTCAGGCACATTTCTGTACCAGGGATACAGAGTGGCAAACAGCTTTATCTGACCAGAAAACATGGAATCCCTGCAGCCAACCTGCTAGTTTTCATTATTTGCTTATTATAGAACATGTATGGGGAGCTTGCCAGGCAGTGTTGGCTCCATTTTTCAGGACCTTTCAGCTCCATGACAAGGTAGGCAAATCTTGGCTTCCAGCTCAGTAGCCTTTTCCCAACTGAGAGAATGTTAAAGTTGGAAAGGATCTTGCAAGTTCTATCACTCAACATCTTGCTCAGCACCAGAAATCCCAAGTTAGAGCAGCCCTATCAGAAGACAGCCCAGACTCTACTTAAAGAATATGAGGAGCTTCCCATCTTTCTAATTTCCATTGGTTCCACTGCTGGACTTACCATGCCATTGCCTAATGTTCAGCTAAAATCTACCCTCCTGCTTTTGTTGGCTGTGGTACTGTAGTAGCTTCTTCAATCTCATATGCATTGCTTTGTGCCTGGAAGGCTGGGTCAAGATTAAAGGGGTTTGTTGAGGGCACTTTGTGTGTTGTGCGGAGGTCATAGGACTTTGTGCAATGAGATCCTTTGCCTTCCTTTTCTCAGCTACAGTAGCCTTGTGAGACAGGAGATCAGCACTAGGAGATCAGCATGACCAAGAGTCATACAAACAGTTGGTGCCTCTTACTTCATTTTATTTATCATTTTATTCATTTTATTTACTTATATAGTACTGAAGTAACAAATGGCCTAGGAAGCATTTTATTGTTATGTGCTATCAACTTGCTTCTGCAGCATTCAGCTGCTCCAGAGTCCCCACCTCCTGTGGCCGAATCTGCACCCAGAAATCCCCAGTCCCACCCATCAGGAACCAGACACACGCTCATCCAAGTACTTGGGGAAACAGAACTTTATGGAACAGAAAAACACAATAGGGGTGGAGGATTTAAAAGAGCAAGCCCTCAGCAACACAGACACACAAGGAGAGGGGAAGGAAAGGGGAATTGTAAAGCAGCATCAAAAATACAAAGTTCAAACCTTAAACACAATTCCCAAGCGCTTTGACCATCTCAGACTTAAAACGAGAAAGTGAGCTAACCTGCCACTAATACCAGATAGAATACTTAGCTGGGCTTTCTCGCAAGTAGTGTAGCAAGTTACAGATGGACAGAACCTCTGGTGGCAACTGGTTTCTCTCTGAAGAGGGAACAAATGCCAGTCCAAATTCTCTCTTTTTATTCCCCCCCCCCCCCACAAGCAGTCAGAGCCCTTGGTTCCATGGGGTGACATCTCCTGAGGATTCCCAGGTGGGACCTACTGATTTGATGACCCCCGCCCCCCCCACACCTCTCTGGTGCCCTTCCCCCAAGAATATGAATTGCCCTGTCCTTGGATGATTTGCAACACTTTGTTTTGTTTGCTGTTCTTCCCTCTGCCCAGCCTAGGCACTGAAGCTGCCTTAATACTGCCACCTGCACTCTGCGTGCCCAAGTCTTGCTGTAACTCCTTCCATTTCCCTTGAGGCATCAAGCCCCTCTCCACTACAGCTTCCAACTTATAGTGACCCTATGAGTGCATTCCAAACACACTCAAAAGTGTGTTTTAAATTATGATTATTTTATATGGATATTTTAACTTATTGTTTTATCTAGTGTTGTAAGCCGCCCCGAGGCTTCGGCGAATGGGGCGGCATAAAAATGTTTTAATAAATAAATTAATAAATAAATAAAAATGTCCTGTTCTGCTCAACCTTGTAGGTTCAAGGCTGTGGCTTCCTTTATGCATTTGCTCCATCTCATAAGTGGCCTTCTGCCTTTTCTGATGAAAATATTAAAACATTATTGATATTAAAATATTAAAGAGTCAGCAGTAAAGTTGATAATCAAAACAGGAGATTAAGATAATTTTTCTTCTTGTGCTGCTGGTACCCGCAACGTACCATGCATGGCTATTAAGGAAAGAGCCTTTTCTGTAATGTCTTTCCAAGGGGGATTCTTTTGGCATCTTTATCATACCTATTTTGAGCTCATGTTACCATCTTCCAGAAGACATTTAACTTTTAGCATATAGCATAGATGGTTATGTTTTAGGTGGACTGGTTCTAAGCTATTTTCCACCTTAAAGATCTATACCTATGCTTTGAATCAGACTCCATAACTAGCCTGCAACCAGTGTAGTTAACAAAGCACCGGTTGCCAGTGCTTAATATGTATAATCAGTGCTATGGTCAAAGGAATAAAGTGGGTAACAAACTTATAAACTCTCTAAGATTTTCTTAAAATATAGTGCTAAAATCACCCTTGTATAGTTTGTGTCCAATAGGAAAGACAGACACACCTGATTGTTGGATTGTCAGTCAAGCTGATACAAATTGCATAAGGTGCAGTCTTGAATGCATTTAGTATTCAAATACTGGTTTTGTAATAGTGAGTAAAGAAACTGGAGTGGTCTTGCATTTTCAAATGCATTTTCTTGGGATGGAACACCAGCCTTTAATAATCATCAGATTTCAGCAAACCAGCATTGCCATTTAAATAAATCTCTGCCAAGTGATGAGTGAGTTGAAAGTGAAGAATGGAGCACAGCAGTCGTTTGGCAGGCTGTATTAATCCCTGGAGGCCTGCTCCATCCAAGGTATTCCAGATTCAAGGATACTCAGAATGAAACAAAACTGCTTGTGCCAAGGATGATGTATGGTTTATTGAATCGAATGATGAAACATGGATACAGAATATAAAGAAGCAAATGAAAGTTTATACTAAAGAAAGTTTATGCTCTCCATACCTGTTACTATTTTGCTTCCTTAAATAGTCCAGAGGATGAAGTCCAGGTCCTTCAGAGTTACCTGGATGAGTGACACATCAATTCATCTCCCCAAGGAGAGAGCAAAAGTTAATGTCTCTGGCCAATGACTTTATAAATTTCCATTTTCCTCAGTTTCAGAGACTGTAACATACACATTCCTTCCTGGAAGATGTGAGGGATGAAGCTGCTTTAGTAAAGCAAACAGGTTTGAGTCTTACAGTAAAATTTTCGATTATTTAAGGAATATATTTGAGGAAAGCAACTTTAAGGCAATTATCTCTAATTTTCTTCCTAATAAGTTGAAGACCATAAAGCCTTCGTATTGCTCCAAAAACCCATCCTGGCTTCTGGACACTGGGAAAATTGAACCTCGATTACCTCCTTGCTATTCTTCAGGTAGAGCCCATGCAATATAAAGCCCTTGTTCACTGGAAGTGGGTTAGTACTTCTGCTAGAAGAGAAGTATGGGACTGGTTTAGCTTTCACCACTACAGTTTCTCTAAATGCAGCACATGTAAACTGTAAGCTGGGTATGCGATAACCATTGTACAGCCTCTGATGTTCTATGGTATTTTCCTTGTAGTATTCTTACCTCATAGGACCAAATGGCAACCATTTATTTATTCAGGAGAAAAGAACGGGGTACATATATAATGGCAACTTATTTGGGTTGCTGTGTTGTCTGAACTTGGAGTGCTTCCTGCAGGATGGTCTATTTGGGGGCAACAAATCACCTTGCTGTCCCATGGCTTGCTAGACCCATGAAGGGTTGGTGTACTATCTGAACCTAGGACACCAAGCCCATTGTGCATCCAGGAAAGCAGAAATATTGCTGCTTAGCATGAATGGCAAAAGCCCCTTGCCAAGCTTGCCCAGGTCACCACCAGTAACAGCTGTTCCATTGAGTGCTCAAGCAGCAGTGACCATCTGTGCTGTGACCCCTTTTGGGGTAGCCATGGCTTTCCCCCATGTTTTCTCTACTTTGCAGATTGTTTTTTGCAACCTCTGGGGTGACAGTCCCTCCAAAATGCCCAAGCAGCACTTTGGTGCCAGTATCACTGCTTTGCCACATTTTGCTTGTGCCACAAATGTGTCCAAATCTCTTTGGTGATTTTTGTTTTGTTTTTGTTTTGTTCTGCAGTTCTGAGTTGCACAACAGCGCAACTCTGACTACATGAAATTTGAAGCCTTGCCTGGTCAATGACCTCATAAGTGCCCAAGCACTTATAAGTGAAAGCAGGCAGTATCCATTAACATTGACAAAGCCAAGCTTTTCAGATACATTACTTTACATCCACTTGATAGCTGTCAAGTTAAAGCAAAGCAGCAAAAAGTTATTAGTTTGCAGATTTGGATGGCTCCTTAAAATCTTCTAGCTTTTAAGGCTGTCAGTATTCTCAGCCTTTTCCCCACTTTTGCGAGACTCTTGATGTTTGGGAAAGTGAAAAAGAATGGCCTACCTCAAATGGAAGCACCAGACTTTTGCTTGCTGAAAAAAATAAAGACTTCTTTTAAAACGGGGTTTTTGACAGGGCTAATTGAGAGGGGGCGTTATAGGAATATACACAGGCAAGTAATTACTGAAAATTGGAGAAGCCACGGTGACCACAAGAGGGTTTCATGTGCAGTGGGAGGGGAGACAGGATGATTTCAGCCATCAAAGAATTAGGAGAGGAGGCAACTCACAACGGACTGAATCAACTGTTGAATGTACCACAGGTTTTTCTATGAATTTGAAGCTTGTTCTCAGGGTGGGTGCCATGTTGAGCAAACTCCCCCATCTGTAGAAATTGAATAGGTGATGATTATTGTGGTTTCAAAGCTGGATCTCTTGCTGTGTTAAATGCAGGAATGCATATCTGGAGACCTTCAGCTACAGTTAAATAATAATAAGTCTTCCCCTCCCCCTTTCCGAATTGTTTCTTTTCCTTTTGGAATGCCTTATGCCTGTAATTTAGGGTGGCTGCAGATGCACATAATTTGTGGTGAGTCTGCTGTGGAATTGCACTTACCATATTTAGTGGCCTCTGTGTTATCTTCTTGTCTAGACCTCTTATGGTCTAGAAAAGAAGACTGATTTTGCACAGTTCTTATAGGATAGTCCTTGAAATCATAAAGTAACTTTCTACTCTCTTTTTGAAGTATGGCTGTGCATAATACTCATTGGCTAGCCTGTGTGTCACTCAGAACCAACTCCCAACCCCCACAAACTTCTCTGAACAGATTTCAAGCTAAAAGACTTAGTGTGGCGATGAAATGTACAGAGACTCGGTTGTTTCAGCTGGTCCCTTCCTCCCTGTCCATGGACAGTAGAACCTGCAGTGCTGGAGGGAAGGGCTTGAACCCACAACCAGCTGGCTGACTGTTCAGTTGCCCCCAGTCAGAGGAATAAGAGGGGGAAGTCTGGGAAGATTGTCTTTTTCAAAGAGCTAAAATCTATAATCATGAAATAACTTTACTGGGCCAACCCAAAACATTACAAAATAAGCATGCAAACTTTCAAGTTCTCCAGAACCCTTAATTACGCTACCCGGTAATCAAAGTGCATTGGCTAATGCTAAAGTTGAATGGTGTGTATTAATTACAGTTTTAAGGTGGGATTTGGGAGGAGACAGTGGACATTCACAGTAACTTTTACTTGGTGCCAGCTGTGACGTTCTCAGGTTGCACCAAGCTCTGCAGGGTGGAAGAAATAAGCACAATGTCTGATGCCTCATTTTTGAAAATGTAAAACCCAGCTGTTACCCAGATCCATCCCCATCCTTAAGGGAAACAAGGTTTTTTGGTAGGTGGAAAACCGAAAGAGAAATAATAGATTGTTCTTATATTGAAAAGCTGCAAGTAATTTAGATAATGTACTAGGCTAAAAAAAAGTTGCTATAAACTAGATCACTAACTTTACCTAGCAGTAGGAGGTGATATTTTTCAGAGAATAAAGTCCTGTCTTCAGGTGCTATAAAATGTTCTTTTGATGTAGGGTAAATGGGTAAATGTGCTTTCATAGACTGCTGAATGGGTAAATGTGCTTTCATAGGCTTCATACACCTAAGAAAGCATCAGTTACTGCTAATGATCATGTTCTGAAACACCCCATCCATCTTTATCTTATGACAGACCAGTAGTAAAGTAGAAACATTTTAAATGTTAACCAGCAATTTTGAAATTAGTTAGTACCGAGGAAACAGAAAAAGATATTGAAAGGAACTGAGCCTGGGATGGAGCAATTGATCAGAAGTACAACCAGTTTATGTTGCAAATTATGTTGTGTGTAGAAGTGGAATTTCCCCTATTAACTTATTCTTAGGGCAATGATACAGTTCTAAATAACTTGCTATGACTTGTCTACCCTTGCTTAACTTTATATCTCATAGATTTGGAGCAACTGTGAATCATTTTAAAATCATTAACGTTTAACAAAATGTGTAACCTTCTATATAGGTTTATGAGGCAGTACAAGCCTGTTCAACTAAGAACATCTTGGTGTGTATTTAATGTGCCTTAAGCTGGATTCTTTTGTATTTGGAGTGCATGATATTCTTTTATCTATTTTGCTTTAAGCCATACTGGCTTGGGTGTTCTGTGTTATTTATAAAATAGGACTGTAGTAGAAAGGAAAGGGTATGCTTTGTGGGACACTGGTGGGTGCAGTTTATTCTAGGAAGATAAAATAAACTCCTTTCAATTGGCTAGTAGAAGGTCATTCCATATCTTTTTGTCTTGGAACTTTGCAAAAATGTGTTGCATCAAAATCATTCTTTTTAATTGGCACAGGCAGCCATTTTGCTTTTGGTTCCAACAGGTCCCCTGGCACATTGCAGGAAAAGCCCTGGAAATGATCCAAAATAAATTCAGATTCCAGATGATAGAATGCTTCCTCCACCAATCTGTAGAGCAGAAGGCTATGACTTTGTGCAGCTGTTCAGACCTGAGTTAGATGAAGAACCGGTTTAAATCCAAAGCATGCTGATTAATGGATGCAATTGTATGCTTGGGCTCTGCTTGCCAAAATGAAGAAGGCAACCATTCTATGGGACCCGCTGACTGGGGATATATATTGTTTTAAGTCACTTGGAAAGGAGAGTGGCAATTGACTTCTGTGCTTCTGACTCTTATGGTTTTCCTCCCCACCCCAAATTCTTCTTGTTTTTCAGCTGGTTGGGCTGCTGCTGATTGGCGTGGCTGCCTGGGGTAAAGGATTCGGCATTGTTTCCAGCCTCCACATCATCGGAGGGGTCATTGCTGTGGGTTTCTTCCTACTTCTCATCGCCATTGTGGGGTTCATTGGTGCTATCAATCATCACCAAGTCATGCTCTTCTTTGTATCCTTCTCTATATTTAGCAAAGCAGGATTCATTGCATCCCTCCTGGAAAGTGCCAGGCAAAACCTGATACTTTATTAATTGGCCATGCCTTGCATTGGCAAGGCCAGGCCTCTCATGCCTGATTAAATTGTGGCATAGTTCAGCCATCCCCAAACTGATGCCCTACAGTTTTGGGAGTTGTAATCCAACTGCTCTCGAGGGCACCGGCTTGGGGAAGGCTGGCATAGTGTTTATTTGTAGAAGCTAAGAATTTGACTGGTCAAAGCAGGGGTATCATTTTCATTTGATCTTCATTTGTGGGCTGTTAAAGGGACAGGGAAAGACTATACAGGCATCCATACTTTGTCTGTTTATGGAGCTTTCCTCAGTTTTCTCTAGCATTAGGGACTGCAGAAACAGATATTGTGTTTCTCACTGTTACTGAGTCTTTGTTGGCATCGACTTCAAACTGCTTTGTGTGCTACTGTACAATTTCCCATCCTGTTGGACATCATTGTACACTGTAGATAGGGAAATCTGTAGCACGATGAGTACATCAGCCCTTCCCACTTTGGTGTCCTCCAGGTGTGTTGGACTGCAGCTGCCGTGATTTCTGACTGTACTCTAACACATCTGGAAGGCACTGGATGTGAAAGGCTGTATTAGAAGTTACAGGAGGGATGAAAACTAGACATAGTTAGAAATATAAAAACATAGCGACAGCCCTATATCTTTCACATTATATCCTAGGAGATTTTGAGGCATTTCAGTCCTCTTCATCCTCAAAGGCAGGGATGAAAAATAAGTGGCTTACCAGAAGTTTGATGTTTGCACCTACAACTCTCATGATGGGCCACCATTGGCTATACTGGCTAGTGCCAGTAGAGAGTAGGGGTTCCTTCTGCAAACAACAACAAACCATTCTTTTATCCATAAAGCAATTATAATTCACCTTATTCTTTGCAACCCAGCCAAAATCAGTGCTAAAAGTGTCAGTCCAGTGATGTGTCCTGTTCCTCACCCTTAACAGGCTGGGTGGTTGTGCTGGGACATAATATCTATCCTATAATATCCTATCTTTTTGTTTTTGTTTTAGGGCCTGCTTCATGAGTATAGAGAGTTAAGAAAAGCCATGGTGGATTAGACCAAAGGTCCGTCCAGTTCAGTATTCCATATACATGGTGGCAAACCAGTTGCCCACAGGTTCCTTCAAGCAGGGTGGGTTCATGACCTCCTCCTGCCCAAGCTCCTTAGCAACTGGTGTATGCAGGCATGCTAGTACCAGTAAAGCTGGTAAAAGAGTGATTCTGCAAAATCCAAACAGTGCAAAAGTTGTTCAATCCCATTGTACAAGAGTACATGAAAAACCAAACTGGATAAAATATTTGTGTATATTTCTATCAGGAAAGTAGTGACAGAAAGCACTGCTTTTCTGCAAATTTTAAATTTATCTCCCTGAGGGTTTTTTTTTTTTTTTAATATAAAAGGAGTAACTGGCTGGAAAAGGAAAAGGAAGGAGAAATGAACATGTGTCTAAGGTAGACTAGGCCTGGTGTCTAAGCAGTAAGTGTGCATGCTTCTATCTCCTCCTTGCAAAAAAAACAAAAAACAAAAAAAAAACCCCTACTGCTTCTTCTTTTTATGTGGTATAAACCTCAGGACTGAGGCGTAGCCATTTTGAAACAAACAGAAGCAAACTGAAGGCGGCAGCCACTCTGAGATAGAAGCAGTCACACTACTAAGAGACAAGGCCTGTGTGGGGAATTAACCTATCTCAGATACATGAGTTACATGCACCATTCAAGATACATTTCCTTCCATGGTTGGAGGGTATCAGGCTTTCCTTTGCTGTGACAGTCTTTCTGGAAGGCACGAGGAACAAGCTCTCAGCGGTTGTGAGCCCACTACGTGATGGTAGAGCACAAAGTTTAATCACATATTAATAAAAACAAGCCTGTGTACATTTTAAAGAATCTATAGCTTAGACAAATATTAAAGCACATCGGTTATTTTATTGTTCCAGGTATGTGTGGATGATGAGGGGGTGAGTCCTTTAATGAATGTTTAGCTGTTTGTTGCCCCTTCGCTTTCATGTCTCTTTTTCTTGTACTGACAAATATAACTAAGAGAGCTTTGCTGTGGCTCTTAGACAGCACTTTGATCCCAGAGCTGGGAATCCACATGTTGATCCAACCACCATCTCATGCCTAGCATGGAAAGAACCATGCCAGCCTCTCCCAGGTTGGGAACTCAACCTCAAAGAGTGCTTTAAGGGGGCATTCCAGAGGTGAGGAGAGGGAAGACTGCAGGGGCCAAGGCTGTAATTATTCAGTCGTCTCTGCAACTTCCTTCCCTCTTCTCCAAAGGACCCCATCTAGACAGCCTGAAATGGCCATCCAACAGAAATGCAGAGCTGGAGGCAAAGAGTGCCTCTGCTACTACTTCTGGTCTGCATAGGATGCCTGCAATCCTCCAGGTTCAGGGATTTACAATAATCTTGATTGGATTGTGCCCTAAATTGCCATATTAACTATGGGAGTTTCAAATGCCTGGGAACAATTATACAGAAAGTGGCATTCAGTCATGTATGCAGCTGTGGAAGAGGCCATGCCTATTTGCCTACAGGGGCCAGTAATGAAATTTTCTTTTTATAACTTCCACCAGATAGTGTGTCCCTAGATTTTCCTCGCATTGCAGTCTACAAAGATGCCTATGGGAGGAAGAGGATCAGAGAAATGAAATTTGCAGATTGCTGCTCCAGTTCTCACCAAGCCATATACCTGTGGTAGCCTGTATTTTGCGGGGTGTTGCAATATAATCCTGAGGCATGAGGTCAGTGCTTTCCCAAGCTCTCCTGCTGCTTCTCCCACTCTTGGGGAGTCACCCTGCCTCCTGGGAGAGCTGGCTTTTCATGGGGTTACTAGACCAAAAAGAGGCTGGCTGACAGCAGTTGTGCCAATAGCAAAGGGAGATGCTGCTCTCTGCATGCAGGATGTGATGAGGAGGAATAGATGCAGTCTCAGTGGAACTATCATAGGAGAGAGAAAATAGGCATTTCTTTGCTGAGGGTTTTTTTTATAACCTAGGGCCTGGATGAAAGGAGAAGTCAGCCTCTGAGGTTCTCATTGACGTAACTGTTTTAGCTAGAAACAGGTTGTGTGTGTGTGTGTGTGTTGAGGGGAGATGGAAACAGCTCTAAAAGGAAACCTCAGAGCATCTCAAGGACTTGGATGGCATTCATATCTGGAGGCTGCTGGCAGCTCCATCAATATCACAAAAGCTGAATAAGGCCTTTCCGAAGTTTGCAGCAAAGTAACGATGAGGTCATGTTCATGTCCCACGTGACATCCATTAAGTTTTATCATAGGGCTGTATCAAAAATTATAACATATTTTTTGTCCTTGTAGATTTCTGAATGAAATTACAGAGTGAGCAGGATGCATTTGTGAGCATTTCTCGATAGCCATTTCTTTGTTAGCTCAGAGTGCTTGGAATGGGAAAATGTATATTCCCCTAGTAGCTACTGTAAGGCAGCAAGAAATACTGTAAATGCCTCTGACTTATGAGCTATTGGTAGATGCTTTACATATCCCATTCATGCATTGGGCTCCCAGTAGTCTCCCATCAGATTATTGTTCAGGTTCACACTTCCTTTTCAGTTTCAAGTGAAATAACAGACTGTTGTTTCTGCTCACGGTTTCTAAAAACCAAACATACCATATTGAAATACCATAAAAGGTTTTGGTCAACATGACAGACCAACAATGATAAAAAATCACCATGGCTTTCAGGTCATGTGAATGCACCCATTGTATGGGATCGTGTACATGGTTTTCTACATAGCTGCCAAAGACAGGTGATCGAAGGAACCTCAGTATTGCTGTCTGTGTTGCACATGTTAAGAAACTGGTATGGGATGATGCTGGAACTGTCAAACTAAAGCAGTGATAAAGGCAGTATTGCTTCATGGTGATGATTGTCTTAATTTGACAAATAGAACTGGAGGAAATGAAGGGTTTTATCTGCAGCTCAGCTTGTTGGTATTTCAGCATCCCTCTATTTTCCCAAGCGTTTCCTTAATTATTCCCTTCTCTTCAGTATATTGTGATTTTAGGGCTAGTCTTTGCTTTCCAGTTTGGAGTTTCCTGTTCATGTCTGGCACTCAAAGCAAGTAAACAGGTAAGAGCACTTTCCTTCCTGAATGTTGATCAGCTTTGGAGGGAACTTGTGATCATTTGCCTCCACTTCAAGCAACAATATGTTCACTTCAGAACAAGGTTTTCATAATTTGCTTAGCCTTCACAGACTAGAAAAAGGGCTGATTGGATTAAGAAGTGAAACAACTTGCAAAATGCACAAAACAGGGTCTGGGCCAAAGTTTGTGCCTTCCACAGCAGCTTCTTGCATTGCAACACTTCTTCCATTGCATATGCACCCTGTCTTTTTTCTTGTTAGGAACTCAAGGTGTCTTACATTCTCCTCCCCTCCCACCATTTTATCCTCACAAAACAACCCTGTGAAGTAGGTTGAGCTTAGAGTGAGGGACTGGGCCAAAGTCACTCAGTGAGCTTTGTAGGATAATGGGGAATAGAAGCTGGATCTCACAGGTCCCCAATCCATCATGCATACCACCACACCAGCTCTTAAAGAGGACTGTGATACAAATGAAGTGAAGTAGAAACTACACTGGAGTGCATCAATCAGGAAGGAAGCTATCGGCAGGAGCTAGCATACTGGGATCAGCAGGAAAACAAGCAAATTTCCAATTAGTTGTCTGAGCTCAGCAATGGAGGGAAACTTTTGTGGCCACAAGCACAATGGCAAATCTGTTTGCACATAAGTTCAGCTTGTTCTTTAACTCAGGTTTGTTCCTTCTTATCCAGTTCTTATATGCAGCAGTGAATTTCCTGCATCTATCAGGGATACAGGAGAGAATAGCAGGCAGGCATTCCTCTCCACCTATCCCAGTATCAAGGCTTTAGTAGCTCATCAGTCGAGAGCACTTTAGTGGCTCATTGTATCTAGTTTGTACCATTTTTGGGGTGCAACATGACCTGGATAGTGTGGCCACCACTACTTCTCTACCATAAAAGTCCCCACCCACTTACTGATTGTTATGTGGTAACTTGAGTGATGGTGAGCAAAACTTATACTTACTTGGCTCGCTGAACTGGATTGAAGGGGCTAGTATTGTGAGCCAGGTCGAATCTCCCTCTTGGTACTGTAGCTTACAAAGCTGTCTTCCTTTCAGGAGAGTCTCCTGAGCGGCGCCTGGAAATACCTGGATCCTAGTACAAAGAACTCACTGGAAAATAGCATCAACTGCTGCGGGCTGTTCAACCACACTGATTCTGTGAAAGAATTCAGGAAAGACTTTGCAGCGTGCACTGCGGTGAGTGGACACAGTGCCGGCACAGGCTTTCCCACCGCGTGAGGCAGGAGAGCACGTGCACTTCCTGCCATCATGGCCACAGTGCCCATTGCCCCCACCCGCCACTTCTGGGACTGTCTCCCTCTCCCCCCTGCTTTCCAGCCGCATTTGTCTTCGTTCTCTCTCCCCTTGCCCTGTCCGTCTTCCCCCATCCCTGCATCTGTCTCATTTCTGCCCCACCCCAGCTGCTCACCCCTTTGGCACAAGGTCTTGCTGCTCTCTGAAGTGCCATGTCAGCCAGAAGAACAGCCGGTGCGACTCTTCAGAGACCCAGCCAAGCCCTGACACCCTGCCCAAGGAGTCCTTTGGAGCCAGGCGTTGTGGTGGTGGGGGAATTCTGGAGATCCCCCAGGGGCATTTCAGAGGCATTCTTGGGCATGCTTGTTTAGTTCGTGCATGATGCTGGCCAGACCTGTTTGGTTTCATTGGTGCAGGAGTCCTGGATCTTCTGGGGAACAGGGGACACATTTGGACACTTGAGAAATAGTCATAGGCACCTCCATGGCATGGTTGGCATGAGGTGGGTAGCTAGACACAAAATGACTGCTGTGGGGGGCGTGGCTGGCCACAGAGGACAAGTAACTTTTCCAAGAAACAAGGAAGAAGTGAGGTCTGAACCCCGAATGCTGCATCATGTATTTTCCCCCACAAAACCCTAAGTAGCCCTCATTTCACAAAATGAGGCTGACAGTTTGGGTCTTTTCAGAGACTCCTCCCCACCAATTTTCTGAAGAGCTCACTGCAATTAATGTATAGTGCTTGGTAGTCTCCCATCCAGGCAGAGGTGTGCCTTCCTATTTTAAAACAAACAAGTAGATAGGTATGCAGGTCCATGAGCAAACCCCCCCCCCACAGTACTACAGTTGAGCAATACCTTGATTAGGACCAGCCAGAATGCCAGAAATGTGCAAGCGTTTGAGGTCTCCAGAACTTTTCATCAGGGTAGTTGATATGAAAAGCAGGGGATGAGGGAAGAAATGGAAAGGTCCATGGAGATCCAGTCTCAAAATTGAAGAGGACATGCAATTTGATAGCTCATGCGGACATTAGATTACACCTACCACTACTCTTGGGTGGAAAAAAGCATCGGGTGACCTCCAGGGCTCATTGTAGTCTGATACCTGCAACCACTACCAGGCATTCACTTGGTCTGAATCTCCATTACAGGACTGGGTCTCAGCTGTAAGCCACATGGCCACGGCATCTGGTCACAATTTTGGATTTGTGTTTTTTCCCATTTCCCCACTTTTTGTACTGCCTAACTTGAGGAGGTGTTAGGGAGAGCCTGCACTTTTGTGGTGTGTTGGTTGGTCCTAATCACGGTATTGTCCAGCAGTGGATCTGCGTTTTTTCCTGGCTATCTGTAGAATCATCTCTTGTGTTTTCAGACCATTCTCTGTTATATGATTGAAGAATTATGTTAATCCAAATGCAGACAACTATGGTGAAATGAACGAACGAGTCACTGAACAGTTTTGCTTTATGCCCTTGTCCTTTTTCTTGGAGTGTAAGCTAAGTTTCAGAATGACCCGTCCATTTGTTGTGCTGAAGTATCCAACTCTTAAGTATATCTTTGTGGATAGGAATAGTGTTTTTGTTATGTGGTATCAAGTTGTCTCTAACTTAAGGTAAGCCTGTGAATGAAAGCTCTCCAGAATACCTTGCCTTGGCAGCCAGGTTGCACTCTTGCAAACTAAAGGGTGTGGCTTCCTTTATGGAACGGATCCATCTTGTATTTGCTACTTCTTCTGCCTTCCTCTTTTTTTTTTTTTTTTAGCATTATTGTCTTCTCCAGTGAGCCTTACCTTCTCAAGATAGCTTCTGTTTCCTCATTTTTGTTTCCAGGGAAAGTTGTGTGTTGGTTTGATCTAAAACCTACTTGCTCATCAGTCCAAGGTCTTTGCAAAGCTCTCATCCAATGCCATGTTTTGAGCACATCAGTGTTTTTCCTATCAGCTTCCTTCATTGTCCAGCTTTCACACCCATACGAAGGCGTGGATTGGCTTTGGTCTGCAGTGAAAAGTCTGTACACTTGATGATATTTTTTAGTTCCTTCATTGCTGCCCTTTGAATTCTCAGTCATCTATTACTTGCTTGCCTGTAGTCTGCATTTGAATTGAAGCAATCAGTACAGCTAAAGCTTTAGTTGTCTAAAATGTTTGTGCTCAATAATGAATCAGTGGAAGGGCTGAAGGGTGGATATCTTTGTGTGTTATTTTTAAAGCCATCTGATATGCAATTATTTGTAGAAATGAAGGCATTCAAAGCTGTGTGTTAAAGAAAAAGCAGTAGATCATGTTAGTTCAGTATCCCGAAGAGGGACCTTTACTGAGGTCTTGGTAATATGTGCATTTGACAGAAAGCTGAGAGGGATTGCCACCTCCCTTGGCTGCCTGGGCAAAATTCCACCCAGAAGATCCCTGGTCCCAGAGCTCTGGACCAGCCACTGGACTCAGCACATGATAAACCCAAGCTTGGGAAACAAGTTTATTAAAAGGTTAAAATGCAGGGGTGGAGGGATTAACACAGAGAATCTAAAAAAAGGATAAAAACAGGAAAGGGGGAGAGGGACAGGGGAATTGGACAGCTGCAACAAGACGTGTTACAGCCAGCCTAAGCACAGTAACTCTACCTTGTAACAACACAGGGTACATAGGATGCCACAGCATTTGGAGCCTTAAAGCCAGTGCACATTAATGGAGATGAGCTTTGCAGGGAAAGCTTGTCACTCTGCAATTCATCTTTGCCTTCTCTTTCAACATGAACCGATCATGCTCTGTAAGCCCTTGATAATGCATTGGCCGGCAGATTATCCCCACTTTTGATATGGACCAGGGAGAAATTGCAATTTTGTAGGGCCAGGCTCTGGTTTGTGTTTTTCATTTTCTCTAACCAACACTAAAAGGAATGGTCCATCTACAGTTGAAAAGATCAACCCCACAAGTACGGGCATGGCTTACCTACTGTGCACACAATGGCTGAACAGTCTTTCTCAAACATAGCCAGGCCCTTTTTCTATGGGAGCAGCTTTTGGCTTAAGTAGGCAACTGGCTATAGTCCTTCTCCCACCTTTCCTGTAGTAGTACAGCCTGGACTCCTGCTTCTGAGGCATCCATTTGTAAAACAAATGGGGCCCCAGAGTCTGGAGCTTGCGGGACCAGGGCAGAGGACAAAATGGCTTTTACCACTTCAAATGCCAGCTGACAATCCTCTGGCCCTTGAACCTGCACAGGGTTTCTCTTCTTACATCGATCAGTCAAGGGAGCTACTAACAGCTAGTGTGGAACAAATTGGCAGTAATATCTCACTAAACCCAAAAAAAGATTGGACTTGCTTTTTTGTCTCGAATTTTGGACCACCTCCACTTTTGTTTCCAGTGGCTACCCACCCGGGGCCCCAAATAAACTAATTTCTCCCAGTCCAAACTGGCACTTCTGGGCTTTTACTGTGAGCCTGACCTCTTGGATCCAGCTAAACACCTCGCAGACATATTCCAGATGGGATTCCCAAGTGGGGCTAGGGTTAGGCCTCCTCCTTAAATGCTTCCTTTCCCACCTCTCAGATGCAGGATGCATATTGGGCATGGATGTTTCCATTGGAGCTAGGAAGAGGGATCTGAGGCTCAGTCTTCTCCAAGGAGAGCCTCTCTCTCCACCTTTGCAGGGGGAGACCCAAACTACCCAAGGGTCCCTGGGGTGCTGCCTCAGGGACCACAGGATTGCACCATAAACCTTGAATATGTGGGCCACTGCAATAAACCTATCAATCTGCAATGACTCTCTATACCAGTGTTATGTACTGATGTCGCTCCATCTAGGCCAGGGAGACTATGTAAGGATGAAGACCCACGTATCACTTGCAGGGCACTGAGGCTGACGTAGAAGCCCTTCAAACACATTCAGTTCTTTTGTAACTTTTCCACTTTGAAGACAAGCCTGGGGGTGGGTGGGTACTTACTTACCTACCTATAGGCTTGCTACCTATACCTTACTTTCACTCCCAAATCTTCCCTCTTCTCTCCTCTCCTCTCTCCCTGTGAAACTGAACACCACTTGCAGAGCTTTCTTCAGAAAACATAAGGCAATGTGAAGTGATAATATGCATCTGACCCATTTTTATAAATCAAATAAGGGTTCAGTGCACATGAAACATGAGAGGAGGGCCAAGATGGACAGCTGACCCAGTGTTTGGTTTGCTGCTCTGGCACATGTGACATTTCAGTTAGAGCCAGCTGAAGAATTTGCTGTGACTTCAGTCTCTTCCACCTCTTTTCAAAGCTGTTATCAATGGAGAAACTGCTGCCAGAGACCTCCGTGGGAATCCTACTTTTGGGGCTACTAGTGCACCAAGTTCAAAAGCAACTTCCAGGTTGCTGATGGGGACGGGGCAATATGCTCACATGACTCCAGTCCTCCGTCAGCTTCACTGGCTTCCCATTGAAGCCCGGGCCCAATTCAAGGTGTTGATTATGACCTATAAAGCCCTAAACGGCTTGGGTCCTGGCTACCTGAACGAGCGCTTACGTCCGTATATGCCCGACCACCCTTTGAGATCTGCGGGAGAGTCCCTTCTCCGGGAACCCTCCATGAAAGAAATTAGGAGAGTAAGTACCCGGAGGAGGGCTTTCTCTGCGGTGGCGCCCAACCTATGGAATTCACTCCCCAAAGAGGTCCGCCTCGCACCGTCGTTACTGGTTTTTCGGTGCCAGGTAAAGACCTTTTTATTTAAACATCATTTCAATTGTTAAAACATATGATCTGGCCAGGGCAACTTCTTCTTCCTTCTCTTTCTCCTCCTATATTTTTATTTTATACTGATAATTTTAATTTTATATTTGTAAATCAATGTATTTTTTGTATTTTTGTATTTAATGGTAATTTATTATGTACTATTGTATTTCAATGTATTTTATCATGTTGTAAGCCGCCCCGAGGTTTCGGCAAGGGGCGGCATAGAAATGTTATAATAATAATAACAACAACAACTACTACTACTACTACTACTACTACTTCTGATCTGGCAGTGAGGACTTAACTGAGTGCACTTTTTATGTTGCTGCCTCTGGCTACTAGTAAACACAGCTTAAAATGTGAGGTCCCCCCCCCCGGTGGATGAAAATCAAAGTCACGTAATGTTTGTCCTTCTCTGCAGGTGTGCAAAACAAAAAATGTATGCCCCACTTGTGGAAAAGTGATGATGGAACATGCAGGTGAGGCCTTGAAAATCCTTGGGGGAGTTGGCCTCTTCTTCAGTTTTACAGAGGTAATTATTCCTATTAAAGGCAGGGCTGCCACTTTTCTCTTGGAGTCCAGTGTGATGGGGTCATCTCCACTGCTCGAAGAAGGCAGTGGTGCAGCCACTCCCTGGCTCCAGAGGTTTATGCCAACTCTTACTTGTGCTCTGGAAAGCAGTAGCATTTCAGCTGCAGATGCTCCTGAATGAAATGGATTAGCTAGACCTATTCCAGTCTGGTTCCAGACTTGGTTTGAGGAGGAATCAGTCTTGGTTGCCCTGGTGAGTGACCTCCTTAAGGAAATGGTCAGGGGAGTGCAACCCTGTTACTACTTCTGCATCTCTCAGCGGCTTTAGATATCATTGGCCACAGTATTCTCCTGGACTGTCTCCTTGTTTGGAGGCACTGTGGAACAGCAGCTCAGCCTGTACCTGTGGGGTTGGTTCCAGAGAATAACACTGAGTTACTGTATGTCAGTCCCATGGCAGCTGAGCTGTGAGATGCCACAGGGCTCCATCTTGTCCCCAGTATTGAGAGCACTCTTAAGATTTGGAGCAAGGTGTCACCAGTATGCTTTTTTTATAACCCTTTTAATTTTCCAAGTATTTTAATAATCAACTGGTTTTATCCTTATTTTTATTACTATTTTAGATGCATTGTACTTTTTTAAAGATGTGTGTTGTTGTTATGGGTTCTGGGTTTTTGTTTTGTGCTTTTTTTTGTTCACTCGCTGTAAGCCACCCAGAGACTTTTTTAGTAATAGGACGGCATACAAAAAGCTTAAATAAAATAAATAAAATGCTGATGGCACCTAGATGTTTCCATTCGTGATCTGAATCAGGAGAGACCATGCTTGTTCTGAACCCAGTGCCTGAATGCAGTTATGGCTTGGATGAGGGCTAACAGACTGAAGCTGAATTCCAGTAATACAGAGATCTGTGAACTGGTAGTTTGCAGGGCTAGGAATTGGGCTGTTTGCCTATTCTGGCTGAGGTGGCACTCCCTCCGAAGGAGCGAGTACAGAGATTGGGGATGCTCCTGAACCCATCTCTTGTCCCGGAGGCTCAGCACATGCTACCAACTTTGCTTGGCGTGCTAGTTACACCCATTCTTGGATAGGAGTAATCGGGCTGTGGTGATCCATGCACTGCTACTTAATAATGAGAGTCCTTTAATGTGCTCTACATGGGCTTTTGGTTCACAAGCTGCAGCCAGGATGCTCACTGGGACGCTCAGCTATGCTTGCATAACATCTCTCTCAAAAGAACAGCACTGGCTGCCTTTTGGCTACCAAGCCATGTTCAGGGTTATGTTGCTGACAAAGAAGTCCCTAAACAACTTGGGCCCAGCATATGGAACGGACTGCTTTCCATTCTGTATACTCATTGATCTTTTAAGATGTCCAAAATTATCAGAATGTCACCAAAGTAATATCTTCCAGTGGGCATTTTCAATAGCAGCTGTCACCCTGTGGAGAAAGCTCCATGTTGTTTGGGAGGCAGAAAATACGGGTGTCTTTCAAACACTTCCTGACAATGCATGTGTTCCCCCAGGCTTTCCCTGGTGTCTAATTAAATTAGCCATTCCTCTCCATTGTACTGCTTAATGTTATTACTGTAATTAGACTTGTATTTTAAATGTGAGTTTAATATTTATATGTAAACTGCTTAGGGATTTTTAATACTTAGTGGTATAGAAATACTATAAATAAATAAAATAAAAATAAATCAGGAATAATCAAGCTTTTGGGCCCTTGGGTCTATTTGCAAATTTGACAAACTGTCCTGGGCACAACCATGAAATGGCTGTGACACATGGGCACAGCTAGTCACAAGGGACAAATCACCTATCCAGAGGCATAATGGGAAATTAAGATGGCCACAGCAAGCTGTTTCTGCTTTGAAGCTTTGGGCACCATATCTGCAAGGAACACTTAGCCATGGCCTAGATGGCTCATTGTGTTAATTTATCTTGAAATCCTGGTAAATCCTCCCTTGGAATACCTCCTCCCTTGGAATACCTCCATTTGAAAAACTCAGCTTTGACTGTAGTGTTGATACAAACATCATCCTAGTAAATGCTCCACAAATGCCATATATTAAACTAGCCTCAGCTATTGGGCAGTATAAAAATGAAAAGAAAAATTATAAACTTTGCTTTTCGAACAAAGTCTGATAACTGGGTCTATTTTTTTTCTTTCAGGTCCTTGGAGTGTGGCTTGCCATGCGTTACAGAAACCAGAAAGATCCCAGAGCCAACCCCAGTGCCTTTTTATAGAACACCACCTTTTTCCCACTATTGTTGTCCATACCCTCCTTTAGTTAGTTGCTTGTCCCTTATTCAAGATACCCTCTTAGTATCACTTGAAAACAAAGCAACCCTCTTGAGGAAAGAAGGATTTTGCCACGGTGCCAAAATGCTGATTGGATGAACTAGCAGCGCAAGGGCCGCATCCTTGACATGAAGCCTTTGGCAGTTGGCAAAGACAACCCAGTGCTGAACGCAAACGGAAGCCATTAGTTGCTCCCAAGTAGGGTGACCTATAGTCTTGTCCTGTTGCTCGCACCATTGTTGCTCATAGTTACAATCACTGTGGTGTTTTTAAAACTTGCCTTTTAGGTTGTTACATTCATTTTTAAGGCTTTTTCTAAAGCTGGTCCCCTCCTAACGATGTCCGTGCTGTAGCAGGGCCAAGTGCTCTGCTGCCCCACTGCATGAGCACAGGAGGAGCCCTGCTTCTGCCGTAACGGCCTTCCGCAGATCTGCACTTCGCTCGTCTCACTCGTGCAGGCTCAGCAGATTCAAGTGCCACATGAAACAGCTCTAGGGAAGGTTTAGATTTTAGCCAAACATTCAGGGTACAAGTACTGGTGTTTTATTTTTGATTTTTTTAATTCTTAAATAGAAGTATGTCTGAATTCATGATTTACAATCATACATACAGGTGACCTCTTTCTGAAGGGAAAGCAGGGACCTGTGTAAACCTGTCCAGAGAACTGGATTACTCATAATGTAACTAAGGTCACATCTGTTACAAATTCTTTAAGCTGGGTTGAAAGCAGTCTCTCTCATGGCTTGTTCCAAGGGAACAACAGGGGCTATACAATATTGTTAGTTTGCTACTAAGACTTACCATTCCAGGTCCTTTTGATTTACCACTACCCTTGTAGTTCCTCGGCTGGGGAAATGAGACTGAACTGCTTGCATGCATTGTGTGAAGATAAGCCCTGCTCAAACTTCTGTCTCTATATCTGTTTGCATATAGAGGATTTAAAGCTGCATGTGTGGGGCATTTTCTCTTGGTTGAGAACTTGCTTACCTTCCTGTAAATGCTTCTAATCTCAGTCCACAACCATTTTGAGAAGTCATTTAGAATCTAGATTCTCCAGGTTCTGTAAAAACTGTAACCACAATTCTGCTGACTACTGAAACACTGCAAATTTGCACTGAGCTCCTTCCCTGCTCTCACTCTAGGTTGGCAGACTAGGAAAGGGCTCTTTTGGCTGTGGGTAGCTTCTCCTAACCAAGTTTTCCTTTCAAAGATCTATTTTGGTTGGTTTAGGAAAGTCATGTGAGGGTGTCGCCAACCTTGGAGCATTTACTCACTTGCTGGTGGAGATCTTTGGCATCCTGTAAAAGGCCCCTTTTGAATTGCAGCTTTATTTCATCTTATCCTGCACCTTGGAAAACATCCATGTTAAACTTCTTTTGGAGCCAAGACTGGAAGGTGCTGTTGCCTGTTTTAGCACAGCAGAGGAGTAAGCACTGTAACAATTCATCTTTGCCAGAGATTGGGCAAGGGCAGATTTTTCCCCCGCCCCCTCACCCCCCCCCAAAAGAGAAGTTTTACAGTGGTGGGAAAGGGAAAACTACATTTAGGAGGCAAGCTTGCAAAGGACTACTTCTTTGCTGTCATTTTCTGCCCAAGTGCCAAGAATGTTCTCTTTTCCTGCAAGCCAATTCTGTAAGGGCAAGCAAGGCACCTCCCAGGTGCGGGAAGGCTCTCTAGTGTGTCTTCACATGAAAAGAAGCCTGTTCTTCTAGGCATCAACAGAAAAAGGGCATCTACCCACTTCCTCTTAATGCCGGCACTTGGCAGACTGTGGAAAGAAAGGTAACCGAAGGCCAAGTAAGAGTGAAGGTGAAAACCTTACGGAGAAATATTGGAAATGTTATGTTGCAGCCTTGTGACAGTTCCAACAAGAACAAGCAGCACTATGCTATTTACTGGCAGGACAACGGTGCCTTTTGCAAACACCGCTGCTCCAGACAGAGGTCCAGGAAGGTGGGCAACCTTTGCAGTCACAGTCCTTGCTAGGGGATGTCCTGCTCAGCTCCTAGAGGAGGAAGCAACACTGGACACTGCGACCTCTTCATACCATTGGCATCATGTGGGAGACTCAGTATTAAGATAGACAAAAAGTTATAGTGTCATGTGCTGCTTTCTCGAAGCACTAGCGGATTGTTGTTTTTCTTTCTTCTTTTACACAAGCCTGTTTTACTCACATCACTGACACTGAGCTACAGCTTCATTCAAACTATCCAGGGGATGGGATTTTGGTACTAAACACTTGCTCAACTATGTTACCCTCAGGGAATGATTGGAGCAAGATGACATGCACTTTATCTAGGGGTAACAGGTAACAAGTGACTTGTAGCCAAGTAGTATTAACAAATTGGTGTCCCATCTTGTCTACCTTCAGTAGAAGGTTAGGCTGATGTCTGCTCAGACACACAACCAGCTTTGCTGGCTGCTTCCTTTGGTGGATTTCTTTCAGTGCTCTGAATTTGCTAGAGACTATCTCTGCCCTGTAGAAGGGGGAAGGGAAGAGTGAAATGGGATAATGTATGTGAAATGAGGTTTGAGGTTTAAATATTCAGATCATTTTGCTGAACTCTACAAGCTTCTCCCCATCATGTGTACCTGGACTACTCCCACTGTAGATTGGAGTTACAGTCTATTTGAATAAATACATTTCTGTCAAACCCAAACCTCTAGTATTTGCTACTTTGTGTGCAAAGGACCTGGGGGTAGGATGAGCACGTAGTGGAATGCAGGCTCCAAGGAGTAGAACCACCTTTTCTGATTATACAGTTCACATACTGTGATGTGTAAATGGAAATTTAGCTCAAGGCATGCACCCTCCTTATACCAGACATCAGCCTGCCATTTCTACACTACAAGCAGAATTAAGAAAAGTTAAAACATTTTTAGAAGTACTTTCTTCACCTCTGATCATATTTTTATCACCTTTTCTTCCAGCAGGGGGCAGAAACCTCCCCATTTGATTTAGGGTAATCAGAAGGCCAATGTAAATACTAGCACCATAAGACAGCTTCCCTGCAACTTCCGAGATTGAGACTAACTCCATCTATCCAGTAGGTTTGACTTGCTGGACCAAAAGAAGGTCTGCACAGTCCAGCCTTCTGATTCCCCCAAGAAGCTGGGAAGATGCTTTCAGGGGTTCTCAAGCAGCAGAAACACAATAGCTTTCCCATATGGTATCTCCCTGGCATATTCAGAGGCTTGACTACTCCCCTCACAGAGGGATATATAGACCCACTCAACCTAGAGCTGGATGTTGTAATTCCCGTTCATACGGTTTTCATTTTATGGTAAGCTGTCCATTTGGTCGAGGTAGTTTCATGTTGACTTAGAACAAAAAAAAGCCCTGAATTTACATACAGTTCTCTTTCACAAATCAATTTCTAAATGGAACAAAACATTAGGCTTTTGGCTGAAGGCACGTGTGTGGATGCAGGACCACCCTTCTGTGAGAGAAAGGGTTTCAATTTCAGAAACCCTCTTCCTGATTTGTGTGAGGGGAAGCACCCTCACCCCCATTCACCAAGGATACCTGTGTGTAGCGTTTTCAGGAGTCTAGAGGGGTTGCCATGAAAAGAGGAGTGTGGAAGTCTACTTTCACCAGTGCAATTGAACCAGCTTAAATCTGGATCCAACCCAAGGGATAAAGTGACCATTAATCAAGGCCACTGCAATGCACACTTCTTTCACCACAGGTAGCAGTGCCAATAAGGTAACATTCAGAGAGGTGTCTTCAGCTGTGAAAATTGTAATGAAGGTACACCCCAACCAATCTTATTCAAATAGCAAGGAAAGACAGAGGCACCCATTCTGAATCTCCATACTGGAAACAAGGCATTGGGAAGCAGCCCTCCAAAGGGTACACCCTAAAGATACACAAGATCCAGATGCAGCCTCCTCATGAACCATCTTCATTACAGAACAATCCAACATATTCCCAAGTCCAGAACTTGGTATGCCAGTAGAAATGGCGATGCCAGGAACCTTTCAAGTGGAAAGGATGTGCTCTTCCAATGAGTTACAGAACCTTCCCAACTCATATTCTCCCTAATACAATAATCCTTACTGTGGATTTGGGATGCGTCAATTTAGAGGTTGAGAAATATGAGTTCTCAAAATGAGATTCTGGAATTCAGCACTGAAGATTTCTGATTCAAGAAACAAACAGTTCATCAGATTTCAATTTGTGGCCATTTTTCCCTTCCAGCTCCAGCAAAAGTTGGCAGGTGGGTATACTCCAAGTATTATTTCAGACAATTTCTAAACCAATAGTCATTTAAAAGATAAAGTTATGACAAAATGCAAATAAAACTAGTTAAAGTGGAACCATGCTCAAACCATAATCCTTGTTCAAGAAACCAGGGGTAGCTAGAGTGCTAGCAGCGAGGCGAATGCCTTGGCAAAACTGATGTTTTAAAAGTTAGTGGCAGAAAAACCCCACACTAGGAGCCCTCAGTGGGGGGGATCATTCCAGATGGGGGGCATGCCACAACCGAGAAGGCCCTCCGCTGTGCCATAACCAACCAAACTGGAGAGGTCAAGGTACAGTATGCAAGGTAGAGGTTGGTGTGACCTATAAAGCAGGAGGAGGTCTCTCAGATAACCAGGACTTCAATGGTTTCGGAACTTACAAACCAACAGTGATACCCTGAAGGTGGCTCTGTACCTTATTGGGAGAGATGTTGGATAAACACTCAAGTAATATGACTCATTCCCAGACTCCTCCTCAGGAAACATGTTCAAGGGACCCCCCTGCCCCCCAAAAAAACACTACCCTGAAAAAACAGGACATACTTGACTGGTCCCCATCCACATTCTTTATTCAAATTTTATCAGTTGAAAAGTGTGTTTTATGTTTCACATCAGCGACTGGAATCAAACATACACAACCGATCTCCATCTGAGCTGTTCTCGCATGCCAAGATATCCAATAATGTAGGTCTGTCTTGACCAGTGTCTCGGCAATTCCAAACAAAAAAAAAAAAAAAAATTGTGAATACTTATACAAAAATATCCTTTGCTCCTATTTTCATGGAGCTCTGTAACAAGTTAAGGCAAGGCTTTAGTGTCAAACTGTTAGCCACAAGGTTGTAATAAGGCAGCAACATTATTGTGTGTAAACTGTTATAAAAATTATTTTAAAAGGTTATCAAAGAGCGACCTTTGGCAAAGAACCCACAGACTGAGATGCCTCAAAGCCGGGCTCTCCCAAACACAACTGACCTTCAAGAACATCACTGAGGATCACCCAGGAACAGAGAGTATGTGTGCACAGGGATACCACTAGAGTAAGCATTTCCAGGGCGGGTGGGAGTCCTGCAACATGCACCTTTCCCACTTTCTTCCAGCATGTGGACAACAGCTCCATTCCCTCCCCAGCCCCCTCACTCCCAGCACAGCCAGGAGGTTTTGGGGACTAGCGTGACTGCAGTCTCTTGGTGGGGTGCAAATTATCCTCATACACACGCAAAGTCTTCCATAAAGTCTTTTCCCCACACAAGGGATGTGCTGGGATGCTACCCTTCACCTGCACTCTTGTCCTGAAAGTACTGGTGATGCAGCGCTTTGAAGGCAGAGATACGCTTCACTGGATTAAATGTCAGCATTTCCTAGAGAGAAGCACAATGAGGGAATGATGTCCTTGCTGTTTACACACACACAGTTTTAATCCAGTTAAGACAGGTCTCAGGCCTATGTGGAACAAGACGAGCACGAGATCGTCTGAAGGCATTCATGTCTTGTTTCCATCTTTTGAAATGTTTCTCAGGCACCCGCCCACAGGTCTCGTGTGGCTCTTAAATCTGGCATCAGCCTTACTTTGGAAACACTGCTCTGTGTTGTCCTATGACTAACACAAGTCCACACAGTACATTATTCATGAAGCAGCTGCGGTGATTGCCAACAGCCTGGATGCGTGAAACATGCCTTCATTCCCAGTTACTGAGCACTGAGTCACTGACGCTCATCGTCTCATTCCATCCACAGACAATTGCCCCCAGAGCCGGGATGGCGACAGCAACATGCGAGCCCTGTGAATGCGAGAACGGCCCTCCGTCCACAGCCTCTGGAACCAGACAGACCCACAATTCTACAGCAGACGCACTTTAGACCAGCAAAAGCTGCTCCTGGGCTGCACGACTTCACATTGCACTGGGTGAGGAGAGACAGGTGCTACACATCTCTGAATGCTCATCCCACGGGCACAAAAAATTATGCACTGAGGCAAACAATATGCAAAAGTGACATTAGACTTGTTGTCTGTGTGCGTCAGGTTCTCCTTCAATATATCAGGAACCATTTAATCATGCAATCCTTTCTGGCAAGCCAAAATGGGGTAGTCCAGGAGGCGTTTCAGCACATTAGGCTGCTTTGTTTAGACTGGCCCAGACTGGATGTAGAGTAGCGAGAAATCTGAGTAGAGCAGGCATGAATGAGCTGCGCATTATGGGTTACCCACGGAGTAGATGCCCGATGTGCCTCTGAAAGCACTATCTCGACACCACCCTTAGCCTGTCACGACCCTACCACTTAGGAAAAGTGCTGTGTGAGTATCAAGTGCTTCACATGTGGGACTGAAGCCATCCTCACAATCCCCTTGTAGGACAGCCGCTGAGGCAGGCGGCAGGACCATGGCCATCCAGTTCACCTGCCGCTGAACTGCCCAGAAAGCCTTTGCTACTGGGCGGCAGAGAAGACAGACAGAGCACACTCGGGGCAGGGGGAGCGGGACAAAGCAGCAGAGCATTTTGCAGAGGGACAAAAGCTCTTTTAGCCTGAGGACCAAATTCCATTGAGAAGCTGCTCTCGGGAACCACCCTGGGTAGGGAAAGAACTACAGGGACAAGTCCAAAACAGCCAGCTTAAAGCTCTTACTTCCAGTAGCTCGTCACTGTTTAGACATTATTAATACTGACATACTGCTTCTCATTGAAACAAATCCCAAAGTGGTTTAACATAATTAAAGTGGGGAAAAACAAATAAAAAATCTCTCTCACGCACTCACACACACACACACACCTGTGCACATATCGTACGAAGCAGCTCAAGGCTAAGGAAAAGTCAAAGCAAAGAGATTTTCAACAGTTGTCTAAACCAGGCCTGTGTTGAGGCCAGGCACCCTTCAGAGGAGGGGATGTCACTCCATAGGGCGGGACACGGGTGACCCATCTCCATGTCATGGCCAAACAGGGATCCATAGGCTTCACCATGGACAACAAGGCCGTAAGAGAAGCATTTCAGTCTCAATGAATGGAGAAAAGCTGTCCAGGAGATGGGAAATCAGCGAATGATCAGTGTCAGAGAGGAAAGGCGCATGGCTGCCTGGCACGCCCTGGGCAGCCAGCCTGCAATCCCAGGACTGAGGCTCCGCAACCCTGGTCTAGCTCATACTCCCGTTTAGATCCCCTCCCGTTTGCTTCCACTGTCACAGAACGTACCAAAAGCATCTGAGCCCCCAGGGGCTCTATTTCTGGCACAAACTTCTCCACAGGCTGTGGGGAGCGGACAGCAAAGGCGCAGCGCGGCAGGGATACATCCAGCGGCCAGTCCTCCTCGGCTGGGAGCCCAATCAGACTGCGAGGCAAGTGGAAAAGAAGAGGGATGACTTCAAGGCAGTACTTTACTACCCCCACCAGCACTTCAGGGCCAAAAGGTGCCTTGGTTCTCCCCCTGTAACATCCCGGCTTCCAAAGTACTTCAGCTAATTTCTTCTGATCTTATAACTGACATCTTAGTTCAGTTTCTATGGTCCTGCCTGAAGTTAAAATCCTGAGGATCTGAAAAGTCAAGTCTTGGGCAGATACTTGCTGGAGATCTGTAACAGGCACCTTGCCCATCCTCTCCACCATCACCTTAGCCAGTTCTCCCACTTCCTTTGCCCTTCCTTATATCCATTTCACCCAGCCCAAATCTGGGATATGCACCACAAGTAGCTTGCTGTGAGAATCTCAGCGTTAACTTTAAAATCCCCTCTTTAATGCCCCCTGCTATTTTATACTTTGAATGTGTTATTCTTTCCAAAGCATTTTTATGCTGATCCTCAGCCAAAAAGGCTCCCAGAGTAGCTTATGTCTAATCAGTTAAACAAAGCAGGTTAAAGCATCATGAACGACTCAACCTTTTTCCTCCCACGCCAGCTTTCATCATTTTTGAGACAGCTCGAGCCAGCGATGTGATTGAGGCTGCAATCCTATACTCACTCATCCCCAAGAGCTGGGTGAGCATAAGGAACCTTTGGTGTGGCTTCTGAGGAGCGTGAGGCAAAAGGCCCCTTGTTACTCACATTTTCCTCCCTATGCTTCTTCCATGTTTTCCTTCCGATTGCATGCCAATGTTCCATAAGTTTCATCCTGCCATATTGTGGGATCATTATTACCTAGCTTTACATCAACAGCATCTTAGAACTGCCTGCTTGCAAAAACTGGGAGCTGGCAGACAACAAATGTTACAGTGGGAAGGAATTGGAAGCCACCTGTTCCCCCGCTAGCTAGTTGGAATATTCCTGACTGGCCACACCCCCTTGTGGACGTGACCACCCGCAATTACCTAGAGCAGGGACCCAGAGGAGGTACACCACATAAGGTATCTGCAGAGCAGGTAACCATCACAGCAAAAGAGAACATCGCCAGAGGTAAGAAAGTTAGCACCCTCCAGATGTTTGGGACTGCAACACCAAATCAGCCTCAGCCAGCAAAGCCAATGCCCAGGGATTGTGGAATTTGTGACCCAAACTATCTGCAGGACACCAGCTTGCCTGTCCCCTGGACTAGGCAACTGGAGCAAGGGGAAAATGCCCTCAAGATGACAAGCTGGAATTCATGCATTAAGCCATCTTGACTTCATGTGACAGTGTCTAGATTTATGCTGGGAGGACTTCCTTGCCCCCTCCTTCTGGGTGGGATGGTGTAACTTGGTGTCCTGCACCAGGCGGGGGTTGCACCCGATGGCTTTCATGGCCCCTTCCAACTCTACTATTCTATTCCAGCCACCTGAAAATGCTACACTAAGAATCAGGGGACTCTGCTGAATGGGTTGAGCAATTCCAAAGATCAGGTGTCAGGGAAGGCTTTCTTCTCACAGAAGCTAGATCCTGGGTCCAAGCTGACGTTTTTCCCCATCACCCATTAGCAATTAACTGAAAGCATCACTCAGCTCCCTCTTACCTCTGGCCAATTAATTCCTTGTTATCAGAAAGGCAAGGAAATGAGCTTACATGGCAAATATGCTGCTCCTCCCCCTTTTCCTGACTTGCAATACACCCCAGGGGCTTTTGCATAGTGCTCTCAAGTGCAGTGCACTTCAGGTTGGTGCTGGACCAAGCAGGGGACCTAAACTAATGAGATGCCTTTTCCCTCTTATTTGCCAGCCCAATCCAGGCAGCAGGACTCACTCGAAGATCTTGCCCAGCTGGTCAGCTTCGGAGTTGCCACAGAAGAGAGGCCTGTAGGGAGGACAAAGGGACGTGTGGTTACTGTGGGACGTGATGGCATAAGTTCTGTGGCCGCTGCTGCCTTACTACAGCACCTCTGAGTGGGGGACGCTGCACTGTTGAGTCTGCCCTATGCACACTCGAGGCAGAAAACAGTCTGTGCCCCTGCCAGCCAGGGTGGTGCCATTAGCGAGATGGGCAGTGCAAGAGACGGGCTGCACGACACACACATTCATGGTTCCCACAGAACTCAGGAGGCGGCTTACAATGGTGCCAGATAGACAATGAATTGTCTGGAAAACATGGAAGGGCTAAGCCATGACGCAGACACCTAGGATAGCAAGCAAAGGAGAAGGGGGCAGAAGTACACAGAAAAAAAGAAGTGGTCCAGCATTAAAGATACAGCACCCCCAGATAGCCTATTCCTTTCTCCCACTGGCCAATGTGAACGGGAGGTCACTGGAATACAGAAGAGACACCATTTCATGAATTACTTATGTACCAAGCTACACAAAAAACCAGCCCTCCACCATTTAAGTCTCCAGATGGATGGGGCAACTTCAAAAGGTCTTGTTTAAATAAATAAAGTCTAGAGAAACACATTTTATGAAGGGCTGTGCTCCCCCTATGGAACGTGGCAGCTTTTGGAACAAGTGGGAATTCACCCAAGGTGTAGCACTACCACCCTTTCAGGGAACTCTGTGAAGCTACCTCCATGAACCCCCTCCATTCCATTCAAGTCATGGATTAGGACAGTCCTCTTCCAGTTGAAGTCTGAGACCAACTTAAAGGGCTTACACTAAACAGCTTGGGACCAAATTACCTAAAAGAACACCTCTTCTCATCTACTCCTGCCCAGCTCCTGAGCTCATCATCTGTACTCTTTCTCAGAGAGCCCCCTTTAAAAGAAATAAAGACGGTGGCTATGAGGAGAAGGGCCTTTTTGGTAGAGGCACCTCAATTATGGAACCAGCTTCCAAAGGAGCAACACCTGGAGTCCACTCTTCATTCCTTTCAGCACCAGCTAACAACCTTTTTAGTCACCCAATATTGTAACAGTTAACAATTTTCATTTCCATTTAAAAGAATATTTTGTCTATTTTACATGCCACTGTATTTTACTGCTGCTATACTCTAGACTGACCTGTACATCACTGCTGTGGATTTATTGTGGGCCTATTGTTGTTATTCTAGTATTGTTTTTATACTGATGTATTATTTATCTTTATTTTTAATGTATTGCTTTTTATTTATGTATTTTGATTATGTAAACCACAAAGAATCATCTTGACTAATGGGAGGTATAGAAATGAATGAATGAATGAATGAATGAATGAATGAATGAATGAATGTAGAGGGTTTCATCCAAATATATAAAAGACAAGGCTTCATCCCCTTGCCCTGTCCCAACACTAGCGCAGGATGACTTGGGACATCAAAAGTTCTGAAGGGTAGAAAATACCATACTGAAAGAAAAGTTAGCTTGCTGCAATGTAAGCTGTTAAGGTCTACGGAGGTGGCTTCACTGGTTGTCCTGCAGCAGATGGGGCATCACCAGGTAGCAACATGTTGGTGACCTTCTCAGAGGCAGCAGCCACCCTTGTGAATCACTTTCCCATAAGTGCTTCAAGAAGCAGAAAAAGTGGCAAGTTTCATCGTTATGGAATGACATGTTTTAAAATGTTTTGGTAATTTTTATCTTCATCTTGTTCGTATGCTGTTATTTTGTAACTGCACAGTAATTTTAGTATGTTAAGTGGTATAAATGAATTATACAATCTGGAGCCTGGTAGTGAGACTGCTGGGCTGTGGAAATCCAGGTTCTGGTCCCCACTTGGCCATGAAAGTTACTGGATGACTTTAGGCCAATCATGGACTTTCAGTTTCACTCCATCACGGGATTCTTGTGAGCATAAAATCCAGAGGAAGAAAACCACATAGGCCACTTTGGGTTCCTTGCAAAAGAAAAATAGGTGAGATGTAACGCAGGGTAATAATATTATATAAAAGCAATTAAGTTTCAGGGTATCTTTATGTTCTCAGAGTATGTACCTCTAGGTGTTTTCCAAGACCTAGAACATCCAATACCATAATTTATTTCATTTCTACACCACCCCATAGCCAAAGCTCTCTGGGCAGTTTACAGCAATATGTAAGAACAATACAATAAAAATACCATAAATCTTATTAAAGGGAAGAATGATTGCTGTAAAAGAAAAACACCTGAGACAGGCAATCCCTTTAAGTTCCTGCACAACCAAGTATATCTTTAAAAGCCCTGGCATCAAGGGCCATCTTAACCTGGCACTGAAAAGATGACAAGGCTGATGCCAGGCAGGATGCAGTAGGGAGGTCATTCCACAGATGGGGCTACCACAGAGAAAGCCTTCCTCCTCGCTGCCACGTGCTGGGCCATACTTGGAGTTGGCACTCAGAGAAAGGCTCCATTTGCTGAGCACAGTGTTGGGTAGGATTTTGCTTGGGAGACCCACTCCAAAAGGTATTCTGGTTCCAAGCTGTGTAAGGCTTTACAGCTTAAAACCAGCACCTGAAATTGAGCCCGGAAGCACAGAGACAGCCAACACGGGTAGGCCAGAATTAGTCTTATGCTTCAGATCTGTAACTGTCCCAAAGTCACCCAGCTGGCTCCATGGCCAAGCAGGAACTAGAACCTAGATGTCTGGGTTTTGGCTCCCACATAGCCATGAAGTTCACTGGGTGACTTTGAGCCAGTCCCTGACACTCGCCCTCAGCTATCTCACAGGGCTGTTGTGAGGGTAACATCTAGAGGAAGGGGACTCCATAAACCACCTTGGGATATAAAGGTACTAATCAAATCATACACTTGTTCCCCCGCTGAGCACCATCTGCCTCTGCCTTCCCAAGTCCCCTCCCCTCCTGCCTTTCTGTATCTGTATTCCAAGGTGGTGAACTAGGAGCACAGGAAGAACTCCTGAACAAATGCCCTGAAAGCCATATACCATCTTTCCTGGCAGCCACTTCCACTGCTGCACCCACTGCTGAACATCAGGAGGTCACCAAGCAGCTCAAGACCATGTTCCATTTCCCCAGACTGAAGCAATCACACCAGCAGCCCTCCGACTTCTCATACCAAGGAGCTTCCTTTCACCCAAGCATCCATTTGGAGACCCATTTAACTGCACCTCCACCAATACATTTGGCGGGTGGTAAACAGTACTGCTGGTAGGAGGTCCACCAGAGGCTACCTGGTGCTGGATCCCAGCCAAGCAGCTGGGTAAGTTAGCTACAAGGCCAATTTATAAAGTCCTCCTTGAGTGTGTACGTGGAGGGCCATGTGTCATGCAGTCATCTGACTGCTCAGTCAGTGCATGACAATGAGAGCTAAAAAAAGGATATTGACAAACATTCTCATTTGCCAAACAGTATGATCGAGTTGACAAAGCAATCTAACTGCCACCTCACCATATGACTGCCTCGAATACAGACGGCTGGCTCGAAAAGGCAGGCGCCTGTGCAAATGGTCTCCACAACTGAGGCTCACCCTGAACCCACTCCCAAGCCCGTGTTAAAACGCACCCAGAACCAAGAGCAATAGGAAGTTAATGAGGAGCACTGCAAAGTCCCTTCAGAGTGTGCATAATTTCTACTCAAGACGTGTTGCTGAGGAATTAATATGTAACCCATGTTTAGACAGACAGTGACAACACACACAGGCTTTGAATGCCATGCTTATGTGCCTCGAAGCTTCAACCAGCTGCGGTTTCTCACCGCAAGCACAGAGAAGCAAAAGTGTACAAAAACCGGCATGCAAGGCCATCAGGCACGCCAACCTGCACACACACTGTGCCTCCAAGAGACTTCTGTGCAATCCCCCACCCCCTGTAAAGATATAGCTCATATTGGTCTAACGTTCATTTCAATGGATCTACTCGAAAGAGAACCAACACTGGACACAATCCATTGCAGGAATACAGGTGACATGGGAAGCACCTCTGTGTTTTTAATGACTTTACTTTCAAGAAGTCAAGATCTGGGAATGTGCCTGACCCCTGAGGGACAACTTGTGCGGATTCCCCCCTCCAGAGGCAGCTGGAAATCCCTTTTGCTCCTCCAGCAGTGCCCACTTTGGACAAATTCCTTGCTCTTCCCAAGTGTGAACCAGGCATCCGCATAGTCATTGCAGGGAAAGGGAAACTCAGCCCAGACAACCCCAGCCCCCTATCCCTGCCCCCCGAGATAGAGCAGGCATCAACTGCTGCCACATCTGCGGAGCAGGTCATTAGCTCCTCCCTACCTATCGGTCCTTAGCCGGACAGATAAGCAAGGGAGAGGGTTTGGGCAGGCCGGGCCCTAATCTATTGTCTCCCAGCTGTGTGCCTGGCTTTTGGTATCCTGCATGCACAATATGCTACAGTCAGCACGGACCCACAAGATCTCTCAGCTGCAGTTTGAAAATCGCCAGGCACAGGTAAACAAGTGTACAATTTTTCCAGGGGCCAAGAAACAAAACACCTGGGCACACAGAGTCTCTAGCTACCATTTTTCTGAACTTATTGTCTGCTAACCGCATCACCTGGCTTGGCCCTCCGCACTGCCTAGTTGCTCAAATGCGTCCCGCTCTAGCTTAAGAGCTCCAAAAAGGAAGCACATTCATTAGAAAGTGTGAGCAAACCCCCACAGAGGCAGTTGCCAAATGCACTCTGCTGCACAGAACCCCCCTTATTTAAGCCCAGGAAGGGTGCTTTGTGCAAGTTTTGTATGATGAAATAACCATACAGCAGATTCAAAATGCGGGAGGGGAGAGGTCCACCAAAACGTGCTGCTGCAGACAGAAGGGACACCCACAGAAGCACATCATCCCATCACCTTCCCATCCCACCTGACCCTCCAGGGCTGCCTCCGACACTTGCTCTGGAACCCAAATGATGAAGGCCAGCTGATCAGAGCCCATGCCCCTCACGTCGCACTAGATGCAGGTCCCACAGACTCCCCAGAGGTGCTGTAAATGCGAGCCAGGCCAAAGGCGGCCAGCATGACTTTACTGGCCCATGTCCTGCACGTGAGGCACCGTGCGTCCCTCCCCACACCAGAGCTCTCATCCTCACACACAGCCTCCTCGTCCCACTCACTTCCTTCGAAACATCTCTGCAAAGATGCAGCCAACACTCCACATGTCCACAGGGGTCGCATAGGCAGACTGGAGCAGCACTTCTGGAGCTCGGTACCAGAGGGTGACGACCTGTGGCAGCGGGAGTGGGATTAGGGTGCACAGGTGAAAGAGCAGGCTGGTTATAGAGCTGCTACCATCCTCTCCTCCTCCCCCTGCCCCGTTCCCAGTGTTGCAGCTCCAAGTGGCTCACAGCATTAGAAACTTATACAATTAAAGCCTTCCTATAAATACGCAAGTGTTAAAAATATAATTAAATCCATAAAGTAATGCAATTCAAAAAGTATCCCAAAATATCCCACACTCCATGCATCACAAGGCTCATGAATATCCCTGCTCCAGGGCAGGAAAAACCAGCAAGTTTGGCACTTAACAGAGCTTCCTTCTCAAGGTACGTGCTAAAAAGGGAACTGAGCCCTGCCAAAGAGAGAGGCCACCCTGCATCTTCCAGATGTTTGGACTGCAACTCCCATCTTACCTGGCCACCGGTCAGGTCTGGTGGAAACTCTGGCCCCACAACATCAGGAGGGGTTTAGGCTGCCTTCCCCTGCTCTACAAGCAATGCCCTGAGCTGTGTATTATTTATTTATTTAGAATACTTTTATCCCATCCTATGCAAACCAATTGTCTCAGGACGGCTTACAATATAATAAAAACAAACAATAAATATAAACCATCAACAACTATAACAAGATAATTGTATCATCTACAATATTATGAGCTTCAGAGCGTGTTTTTTTCTTTGCAGTAACATCCAGCCTACCCATTCCACTTCCCATTCTCAGGGAGAATCCTGGTTGCCCAGCACAGTCTTATCAATCTGCAGTAATGTATTCTTCCTGCACCACCTCCTAGCATCATGAATGTGCTGGCATCCCTCTTTACAATACATTTGGACCAGCGGGGAAGGAAAACAAAGCTCCCCTTCTCATCAGCAAAGAGCCAAAGACTGGAGGGGGAATTCCCAACACAGTCACAGCAGCAGCAACCAAAGCTCCCCCAGACCCTGTGGACTCACCAGCGGTGTCAGAGCCATCTGGCAGCTGTAGATGCGAGCCAGACCAAAGTCAGCCAGCTTGACTTGACCAGAGCTGGTCACGAGGATATTCTCTGGCTTGAGGTCACGGTGGACAATGCAGTTTGAATGCAGGAAGTCCAAGCCGCTCAGGAACTGATGCATCATGTCCTGCGCACGGGGAGAGAATGTCTCATCAATACCAGATGCCAGTCCAGAAAACGGGGTGCCTGTCCAGAATCAATTCAGAATGCCACTGAGAAACATTTACCTTGATTACCTCTGCCGGTAAGCCAGGTGGTGGCGTTTTTTCCAAATATGCTTTCAGATCCTGATCCACGTGCTCAAAAACCAACGTTACTTTGGTCTCTCGCTCAGTCCGTGTTGTCGTGCACACATCCATTAGGCTACAGGGACAGGAAGAGAAAGGTGCTTAGCAAATGCTCCTGTACTACAAGGGTGGAGGGAAGGGGAAGAATAGGATCTGTGAAGTTAGGAATTTGGGTTTTTAAGTGAGTTTCACTCAGGATCTTCGCAGCAATGCTATGAAAAAGATTAAGCTGAGTAGCAACATTGGGCCCAGAGTTACCCAGTGAGTTTCATGGCTGACTGGGCACAAGAACCAGACCTCCTCCATTCAATGCTCTAACCACTACACCACACTGGTGCTCAGTAGCACAAAGGCTAATATCATGGATTAGAAAACAGGCTGGAAGTAAGTCAGGCTACAAGACCCCAGGGCATCCAGCACTACACATGAAACTGTACATTATAAAACCTCCGCTGCTGCTATTCTGGCCCAGATCATAAGTAGTAGTTTAAGGCAGGCTTGCTCGCCCTTGCCAAGCTAACCATATGGTCTTTTCATTGCCCCATTCTGCCAGCTTCCCTGCCTTTTAGACAGGTTTCCAGTTCCCACACACACATACCAAAAGGAAAGGGTGGTTTTCTGGGTTTTGTGTAGTTGTTCCCCAGTTTGAAATACCTCCCCTGAAGCTTGGCAAATGGCTATAGGAACTTTAAACTACAATAGGCTGGGGTTTCTTTTTGCACTGTTCCTTTTGCCTCACCCACCACTGGAATGCAGCTCCTGAGAGCTTCTCCAAAATGAAATTTAGCCTTCTGGCTTTGGCATCCCTGTTCTAGATCACCAGGCTCCCAGCCTGGGGTGAGAGAAAAGGGATCACTAGCTGAATTCATCTCAGCTTCGTCCTAATTCTCTGTGCAGAGACTCAAACAGGTTCTACTGCGTGCCTTATCAGAGGAAGCCTCAGCCTAGGTCCTTACTGCAAAGGTCACAATAGCCTGTGCAAGCTTCACACACTTCCCCCAAATGCATGCCAAGTCCTGGGTGCTGAATGGCTTTATTTAAGTAAGAACTTAACTTTCCTCACAAGTTTACACTGCAATTCCATGCCCAGTCACTATATTTCTATGTATGCTTATTATACTCAATCACTGTATTACTTACGAGTGTGTCAGGATTGCTCCTCTAATTGCACGGGCAGTTTTTCTTTCAAGGTTGAATTCTATCCTTCCCCCAAAGTTCCCATATGCCAAAATGAGCTCCATTACTGCCTAGCTACAAGTAATCACAATAACTTTAGAAATAAAAATCTGTGAGCCAAAGACAAACCACAGATGTCCTGCCCCCACACCCTACAAGGCTTCTCTCCTACATTCTTGCCCACCTGAAACAGAGCCACAATTGGTGTAAACTGCAGCAGCCAGGCTGCTGTATGTGGTCTGAATACATAACTCTTGTTCTGGTCTGCTTGCATTGGGCTGCCTATATGCTTCTGAGCCCAATTCGAAGTGTCAGACTTAACCCATAAAGCTTTCATAGCTTGGGACCACAACATCTGATGGAATGTCTCTTCCAACCACAATGTATCTGGACACCATGCTCAACATCTGAGGCCTTCCTCCAAATGTCATCCCCAGGGGAGGGTCAGCTGGTGGCGATGAGGAGGGCCTTCTCTGTGGTACCCTACAAATTACAGAATGATCTTCCCACCTGGCAGAAACATCTTTTCAGCAGAGGTTAAGACCATCCTCTTTGTTAAGACATTTATCAGCTCCAAATAGCACATGGAAGCGTAGGTGGGCACTGCCAAATGTTTTTCTGCGGGCCTAGCAATATGGACTGGTTTTAGACATTTAATTGTAAAACTGTGGTTTTCATATAATTCTATGATGTTTTATTCTAGATTGTACTTTACACGGTGCTTTATTGTACTTATTTCCTGGTTCTCATGTATGTATCCTTTCCCCTGAGGCCAAGGTTACTGACCTGGAGGAGCAAAGTGGGGCAGACAGGCTGGATGACAAGACCCCCAGGGACCAACTAGCAGGGTCCCAACTCCTGGGTGACAGCTCCTCTGTAGTCAAGGAGAAAAGGGTTCTTGAGGAAGAAGGGTTTCATGATCCATCTGCCACAAAAAGCAGTGATGGCCACCAGACTGGATGGCTTTAAAAGGAAACTGGACAGACTCATGGAAGAAGTGGTCAACAGTGGCCAAGTAGCCCTGCTAGCTATGTGCTGCCTCCTTTACCAGAGGCAGCATGCCTGCATACACCAGTTTCTGAGGTGCTTGGGCAGGAGCTCCTGCACCCATCCTACTTGGGGGACCCCATGGGCAGCCAGATTGCCACCATTTGTATGGAGCGCTGGACTGGACAAACCTTTGCTCTGATCCAGCATGGTTTTGCTTATGTTCTAACTACTCTTGTTTATTGCCATGCAATGATAGCAAAACAATAAATGAAATTAAGATGTGAAATCAAAGAGGGGGGTCACACTCACAAGGAACAGCTTTCCTGGGGCGACTGTTTTCAATGGTAAGTCTATTCTTAGGTACCTAAGTAACAGTTTGGCCTAAAGTCACCAGAGCCCTGTGGGAAAAGAATGCCTCAGACTGGACTAGAGCCAAGGAAGAAACAGAGGCAGACCAAATATAACCCGTGTGTATTCCTGCTTGTACTTTTATATACATTACATGTAAGCACTATGCTTCAGAAATGAACTTCCTAGTTTTTCAGGCATCAATTCAATGGGCACAATTCCAACCGGCCCCAAGAACAAAGTGGCTCAGTTTGATCCAAAGCAGAGCCATCATCTTCCAGCTGAATTATTCTGGAGGGTTGCTCCCTCCCTTCCCCATCCCAGGCTTCCTTAATAGCTATTCCTATAATGGTCAGATAAAGCCAGCCACTGCAATGGTTCAAGCTTGAGGGTCCTTCCAGTTCTGACCTTCCCCAACCAGCCACCCCTCCAATGGTATGTGGACCACAACTCCTCTTGCAGGGAGACCATGATGGCATGTGTAGTTCTATGCATTTGGAGGGCACCAGGATAGGGGAGCCTGCTGTATTCCAGTGAGCAAAGGTAACACTTATACTACTGCCATTTTCATGCAAAGTTCTCAGATGTTAGAAATGGGCTTCTATTTATTTAATTTTTATACCACCCAATAGCCAAGGCTCTCTGGGCAGTTAACAAATGCTGAAAAAAAAAACCCAGAATACATATTTTAAGCAAAAACACAGCAATGGGGTCATGCAGATGCTCTACATGCTTGCTTATGGGTCAAGAAATTCCCTTTATCCAGGCCTCACTTTAAGTTGGGTCTTGGTTGCTCACCTATTTTCACATCCTTCAGCAATCATACCCAGAGGGTTAGCTCTGATAGTCTGTGATAGCAAAAACACTCTATTACTGGTTGACCTTAAGATAGCCACCCAAGAACAAGAGAATGTCAAAGAGAAATTCTGACAGGAAGCCACTCAATGACATCTTATCAGCAAGTTCAAACCTATTCCTTGGGTATGAACAGAGACAAGGGTTTCCTGTCCCATTACAAATGTAGTTTATTCAGTCATGTCAAGATAACTGGATTGTTGCAGGAGGATGACTCTGCTTACTCTGCATCCATTTAGACTTTATTTGAATTGTTCCTGTGCTTTTTGTATTTCTATCCCATTTTGGTTTGTATGTTTCTGCAGTTCTGATTCTGGATTACAGGTCTCCTATCTCTTGAATGATTCTGAGGTGCAGGAAAGTTTTTGCCATAAGGAGTCTTTAAGTTGCCTCAGGACACTTTTTTCACAGTAAGAATATTACCTCTGAGCATGTGTAGAATGCATGGACACAAATCTAGCCACAGCCCATCACCTCACATTTAAGAAGTGGCTTCCCCAAGTTCAGAGGCTGTGGCTTCCACATGACCCCTCTTCTCCTGACTGGGAAACTAGCCACAGAATGGGCTGCACTACACCTCCCTGTCTCATCACACCCACCCCTGAAATGCATGCAGCTCCTGGATCATGCCCTCACCGTACAATGTTGGGATGGTCAAAGTGTTCCAGGCGTTTCAGCAGAGCCACCTCACGGACAGTCGACAATGGCAATCCATTCTCACTGTTCTGCACCCTCACATTTTTGAGGGCCACAAATTTGCCACTCTGCAGGTCACGGGCCTTGAAGACAGTGCCATAGGCCCCTATGCCAATTTCAGCCACAGGCTCATACTGTTCCCGCACACCCATGGCCATCCCGGCAGCTTGCTCCAAGATGCTGCAAAAGCTTCAAAGAGAACAAGGGAAAGAAAGGAGGTTAGCAAGGGAGTCTACACCACTTCTTTGCTGGCTCCTTCCCAGCAGCCAACATGAAGGTTTCTCTCCCCCAGTAGAATGGCCTTGCACAAAAATCCAGTTAGCATCTTCTTCAGGACACACCAGTGGCACACCCTGGTCTACACCTGGTCCACTGCCCCCTCTCCACACACCCTGCATAAATCCTAAAGGGTTTGGCATGCTGTTATTTGTTTCTTAGATTTGTATCTCGCTTTTTCTTTTAAAGAATTCAGAGTGGCTTACATCATGCCCCTCCTCCTGTTCTCAACCTTATCTCTACAACAACCCTGTGAGGGAGGTTGGACTGAGATACCATGACTGGTCCAAGGTCACGCACTTGACTCCATGGCTAAATGGGGACTAGAACCAAGATCACCTGAGTCCCAGTCCCATGCTCTTAACCACTACACCACACTGGTTCTCAGTCAGCTAGTCAGCCATAGCAATAATAATCACCTGAGACTCTTCAAAATAACAGCTTTATTAGGGTTTTATCCAGCCTCCTTCAGCCTGGTACCTACAGATATGTTAGACTAAAACTCCCATCATTCCCATCCAGGATAGGTAGGAAAACCCATGCAGGCTGGGAATTGCTGTCCAACACATCTGCAGGATACCAAACTGGGAAAGTCAAACATGAGCTTTCTTGGACCAGAATCAACTGAGGTAAGGCATTCTGTCACTCTCCAGATGCTTGAGACTACAATTCCCATTAGCCCTAGTAAGCACGTATTGTAGGAGTTGCAATCCAGAACTCTGGAGGGCACCAGGTTACCTACTTCTGACTTTGTCAGATCCTTGAAGAGTTCATCTCAGCATCTGGAATACAAACTTCGAGGTTGAACACTATGCAGCAGGCCATTAAAGGAACCATATTCAGCTAGAAGCCACGGCCCATCCTTTCTAGGCTCCCTGCAATAATGGTTACATTTCAGGCAACGCCCCGTCGTCTCCGGGCAGCTTTCTAATCGCAACTTCAGGCGGTTAAACGCTCCCATCCCGTTTCAGGGTCGCTTGCGCGATGCATGCACCGATTTCGCCTCCCCCAGATCCCCCTAACAAAGCCCCACTGTACGTTTCCAACACTGCAGCCCCTCGTCGGTGGCCTCTTCTCCGGGGGCTCCTGGAACCCATTCCCCGCGTGCCGTAAGAGGAAGAGGGCAGCCCTCCCCCCACGTTCTTCTAGCCACATTTACCAGCCAGTAAGGAGCAACGATTTGCAATAACTGACAATAACTTTGCAAAATCATAGCACCAATTCCCGGGCCAAAGCCTCCTACACTAATCCAAGCACGGAGCCTATACCCCCAGAGCTGGCCCCCTCTCACTAAGTCCCGACACGATACTTTGCCATGTGACCACATAACAATAAGACCACCTTCCTCCTCTTAAAGTGAGGAGGAGGAGGAGCAGGCACGTATGCTTTGGAGACGCCAAGGTACTGCTACTACCAATTCCAAACCAGGAGGGCCCGTACTCACCGCAGCACGAGCGGCGGCGCCGGCGGCAGCTAAGGGGGATAGTCCGCTCTGCGGCGCTCGAGGTACACGAATGGGGGCGTGGCTGGAAGACCCGGTGAAACCAAAGAGGCGGGAAAGCCAGAGTGGCCACTAGAGCGGAAGTGGGTCTCCATAGTTACTGGCCTAACCTTTCGCTTCTTCTGCCCATCCCCTTCCTCAAGCAGGGAGGGGCCGGGAGCTAGCCGAAGCTCCTCCCTTTACGGGAACGTTACTTTGCCTCTGGCTCCTTCTTCCCTAGTAACGAGACAGTCTGCACCAGCGGTTACAGCGCTGAATTCCTACCTGCATTTTTTCAAACCCTGTTTCATCACGGGGGATGCTCCTTAAATTGTATGTGCACAGAAAGAGAGAGAGAGAGAGCTTCTGATCATCACACGCAAAGGACTCGTGTCCTTTTCCTAGGTTCGCAGACAAAATAATTACAGGAACTGCAATAATTATTGTTCTTGTAAAAGAAGATGCCGTTGATTATCTGTTCCCCACTACTGCTAAGGGTGTGGGATAGGTATAGAGTGGTGGAACACAAGTCTTGCTTCAAAGGGTTTGTTAGGATCCAAGCATACTCCCTGATCCCGAGCGAGAAAGACACACGCTCCTGCATCAAACTATTTTTCTCCTGATCGACATAAGGAAAGGGTTTATACACCTTTAATCTACTCAGGATGGATAGCTAGAGAGGCTATGGCAGAGTCCTCCGTCCCTCCAATGCACAAGACACGAGCAAGTGATAGCGCTATGAAGTTAAAGATGAGATTGGAGTTTAAAGACTCCAGTTTACTTGTGTCTAGGACACGTGTTGAAGCGAATCAGTGGGTGGAGGAGCCAAGGTGCCAGCTCTTTGATTGAAAGTATTTCCAGTCTAAAATGAGTGGTGGACTATTTATTTATTGTACGTTTTAAATGCATGATAATGGGGTACAATGTATTAAAAGCATCCAAGTATTTAAAAAAAAGCACAGAATTAAAAAAAAAACCCACCAGCAACAAATTAAACCGCTTGCACATCATATAAGCACGAATTACTAGGTGTTTTGCAGAGTTATTCTTTGCTATTGTCTGTTTTTATCGTCTGCTTTTAGCTGTTTTAAATGTTTTAATGTTTTTTTTCCAGGTTTTATGATATTTTATTGTACTGCCTGTTTTTGTGGACTGTTGTAAATTGACCAGAGAGCTTTGGCTGTGGGGTGGTATAGAAATGGAAAGAGGAGGAAGAGGAGTGTGTGAATTTCCTCTTGTGCATTCATACCCAGTTTTAATGCTTCCCTGCTCACGATATTATTCTTTTAGGATGGCTGTTCAAATTAGAAGGTTTTGCTTCAATTTTTCTTTTCTTTTCCTTTCCTACCTCCACACTTAAAGCTGATAACACAAAGATGACATGAGTGAAGGTTTGCAGGAGAACACCCTGCACACCAACACCTAGATCATTCTATCGAATTTGGAGACTATTGATTCATATTGGTGTGTTTTCTAAAAGTAATACCCAACTCTGCTAGTAAAAAGCCCATGTTTTTCTCTATTGCTGTTTTCTACTTTAAAAGGACTGCTGGTTCTACTTCCAAGGCCGCGCCCCCTCCCTGCCCATTTGCTTCTCTTTGTCTTTGAGTAACTTAATATCTTTTGTATCCAGGCCATGCTCTTTCCCAGAACATCTCCCCAGGTCTGCCAATTTACCTCTTTAATTTGCCTGAGTAATTACCCCGTGTAGCTCAAAACCAAGCTGTACACTTATTCTTAACAAAAAAATTATTTTACTGTTTGGGGGTTATACCATCTTCTTTTGGACTCTCATCAAAGTCTGATGTGGGGTGTTTTCTGGAAATTCTGTTACATGTGTCTCAATTCACCTAGAGAGGAGAACTTTCAGGGGTACAGCACTAAAACTGGTTTCATTTGGTTTGAGCTTATGGGGCATTTTCCAATATTTGCATTCATTTACAAATGTACAGCTTAAGCACAGATGGCAGTACAATATTACTGCATTTCTGCCTGATACCCATATTTCATTGCAGGCACATAAAGCCTTTGGAAAAGCAAGCACCACAAAATGCTATGTCAGAACAAAGTCAGCAAAGGTTTTACCATAATATGGCTGCTAAAACCCTGACACTGTAAGAATAGTTTTAGACTTAGGATGGGATTCCTGATCTGATCAGAAATACATGTTACAAGTCTCACTTCCCAGGTAGGCCTTAGAAATGCTAATATTCCTGTCCTGAAAGCTCTTCCTCAAGGGCACACCTTAGACATGCTAATGTTTACCTGTCCTGAAGGTTCTTCTCTTTGTTTTTTCTTAATCCCTATTGTTTTACGTGGGCTGTAGTATACTAATCCCACTCACCTGATCCCCCACCCTCTCCAAACTATGTAGGCTATAAACACATCTTATACAGATTCCATCTTTGTAGTCCCTTCAAAGGGACTAGATGTATTTCCTGTATCTCAGAATAAACTATAACTATTCTTTTGATAGTATACCATCAGCAGACTCTCAAAGGATTTTTTTTTCCATTCTTGCCACTGTAAGCGAAGCAGCTCTCAGAAATTGCCATTCTGCCTTTTTGTTTCCTGTTAGGCACACCCAACTAAGCAGTGGGGAAGGGAAAAGTCTTCCCATTCAGATTCTTGCAGGTCACTGATAAGGACATCTATGAGCAATCAGCCTATAAGTTGGGGACTGCCAGTTAAAACTTGTCCAGTCATGTTTACCATTTCAGTCATATGCTGATATAATCAGAGTTAGAAGAGCCCTAAGAGGTCATCCAGCTTAAGTCCCTATTCCATTGTAATATTGTAGGGCTTGCATACAGGATAATACAGGGCTCTAACCCTTAGGAGGTGTGCTCCTGGTGAAGCACCAAGGTTAAGCAGACCCAGCCCTAGCAGTTGCTGGTGGCATGCCGAGTCCTCTAGAAGGCTACTTCTCACCCACCCACTACCCACCACCATGTCAGAGAAGCCACTGACATAGGATGGGGGCTTTGCAAAGGGCCTTGTCAACCCTGCAACCAGCCCTGGAGCGGGACTGCTGGCAAAGACAAATCTGTTTTCTGCCCAGTAGCAAAACTTTGGTATTGCTGCCACCCAAATGGCTATACTACATTGCACAGAAGTGGGGTAAGATAGGGAAGCTTCTGGTTATCACAGTTGCTCTCTCCCCTCCTCAACTTCATCCTTCTCTAGTTGTGTTCACACATCATGACAAACAATGGCAGGAATGGCTTGTCATGATGTGTGAATTCAGTAAGCATGGCATGTTTAGCTACCTTTAATTCTCATGGAAGACCAAGGGTCTGTTCTAAGGTTTCCAAGTTTCAGCATTGCTTGTGTGTGAATCCAAATACAATGTTTTTCCGTAGTTTTCCCTGTTTCTGCCATCAAGTTTGGTGGCAAGAGTGGCTGCCCTGGCAGCAGACACTCCAGCCTCCATTTGTTGCTGTCCTGCTCTACCTGGCAACTGATGAGGCAGCTGCACTCGGCCTGCTGCTTCCCTCTTTCCACGCGTTGCCTTCCCGATGCCCAGTCCCAGTTCTGGAATATCAGCAGCATTAGGCCAGCACCATCTCCAGCAGCAGTGACCTTGCATATAGGTATACTTGGAACTCCTGTCTAGTTGCTGCAGTTTGCTGGAGCCGTGCTCTGAAATGGTCGTATGTTTCATCTGCTTGGAAAGTGTTGGAGAAATCCCGATAAATATTTTTATTAAAAAGGTTGCTTATATGTGTCTTTGTGTTATAAAAATCAGACTTACAGTATCCCTGCGCCTCTTTCTCAGAAAGAGCCAGAATACCAAGCCAGGCTTTTGTTTAGCATTGTTATCAGTGAGCTGTTCCTTTAAATGTTTGGAACTCCCTAGTTTGAGGTGGTTATTACCTTTAGTTGCAAAAGCCTTTTGCAGAATGGGGCTCCCAAGGCAGCCAGATGGCCTTTTGGTTTTTTTTAGCAGTATTGCAATTTCCTTCATTTACATGCTCAAACTTACAGCCAAGATCTGCAATAATCCCTGTGCCTTCCTGATTATCATGACAATCTCCTAGAATCAACACTATTGTATTAAGCCCCCTCTGCAGATCTCTCACATGCTTTTGACTGTGTTCCCATTATTTCATCATCATCTGCCCTGCTGCTGTGTGAGAATCAGAACCTATAAAACACTCTGTATATGTTCTAAGAGCTTGTAGTTGGCTATGAGGACCACTACTGGGTAGCATGCTGTCGTACGCAACTGCAGGGGACCGGGGTGATCTCACCAATAAACCACAGAGGTTCAAGGCGTTTCGATCTTCCCTATGGACCACAGTGTTCATTCCCACCATTGGTTCTTGAGGCTCCAACAGAAGCCAGCACTCTCCAAGAAGCCCAGGTCTCTCACCCTCCCCACCACTCCTCTCTTGTTCCTGGCATTCCTAAGGACTCTCAGCAAGCCCTGTTGTCCCCCACCCCATTACAACTGCTCTACAAGCACATTCGTTCAGACAGCCAGAAACTTTCCCAAGCGGAGGCCCACATGTGCTCCCACATGGAACTATTCCTACGGGACACACTCCCTCCATCCCTGGCATGGGTGCCCACACAGATATCCTCTGTATGCCTGGGTGCAGGGAGAGGCAGCCCTGACTGCATGTGTGAATCCTGCAAGGGAGCGGGTAGAGGTGGGTGTGCTGGTGGGTAGGCTTGCCTGTTGGTGCAGAGCAGCGGCAGGGAGCACTTCTGCAGTGCTCCTCTAGAGCAAGCATGCCACTCTGCTACAGCTACTTTGCAGAGCCACAGGGGAAAAAACCCAAAAGTAGCAAGCTAAGAACACATCCAAGAGAGCAGGAGGGCCAATGGGGAGAGGCAGGCAGAGAGGACAGCAGTAGTGGATGCTGGGATTGATTTCCAGCTGCAAGGGCTGATGGTGTCAGAATCCCGGAATCTCAATTTGAGAAGAGGGAATAAAACTCGGGTTCGTGGGAAAGACCAAGCGTCCAGACCATCTGAGGCTGTATTGTATTTAC